TGGGATCTCCACTGATCTGAGCTCCTCTGCTGGCGAAGGAGGCCTCGCTGGTTCACCGCCTCAGGAGTGTCCATGAGAGCTGGTTTGGCCTAGCAGTGAAGGCAACAGGCTGGGAACCGGGAGACTTGAGAGTTCTAGTTCTGCCTTATTAGCCACGAAAGCCGGCTGTCTGTCTTTGGGCCGGTCACTCTCGGCTCAACCCACCTGACAGGGTTGTGGTTGTTGTTGTGGGGAAAAGAGGAGGAAGGAGGAACATTAGGTATGTTTGCTGTCTTGAGTTAGTTATGAAAATAAATAATATGATCTTAATTAATATTAATAAATAATAAGGCGAGATTGAAAATAAAAAATAGTGGCTAGAAGGCGGTTCTTTCCCGAGAGTTCAACAGCATTGATTGGCAGGTATCTTTGGGGCTTGACCTACTCCAGGGGTAAGCAGCCTTGGCTCTTTTATGACTCGTGGACTTCAACTCCCAGAATTCCTGAGCCAGCCATGCTGAGAGGAAAGGGAGAGGTTTCCAAGCTGAGCTGTGCTGGCTCAGGAATTCTGGGAGTTGAAGTCCACGAATCATAAAAGAGCCAAGGTTGCTTACCCCGGCCTACTCAGAAACTCGGGGGGGGGGGGAGCTGTGAAACAACAGGAGGATAATAAGGCCCCTGGATAGTGGGTGTTCAGAAATGACATCACAACACGTGTGTCCTTGGCAATGTGTGGGCTATTCTGACCAGTAATATTTCCCAAATCATCCCCCCCCCCATCCCCAGGGATGGCGAGTATCAGACTCTTTGCTGCAATTCCACATGTGTGCACAGCAAGACATAAAAGTCAAAAACTGCTTTGAGCTCAGCTCCCAGGGCCTTCCGTGGACTTGGAGCCCATTTAGTTTTCCCAGCAACAGGGTGGCTGCCATGTGTTTTTCACTCGCCAGTCTAGCTTGCCTCCCACTCCACCAATGACAAATTTTGACCTTGCTTAATTTTTCCTTTCAAGGTCAGCTGAGGTGATGCCATCCAGCCTGACTTAGAAGAACTTCACTGCCCTGCCTGCTTTAAGTGAGCTTTGTTAATTAATCTGGAGTTGTTCTGTATTAGCTCCCTGTCACGCTGGGCTTTCAAGCATTGTTTGCTAGTTCCAGAAGGGGAGAAAGAGCTGTTGAATTTTCTGGCCTGCTCGAAGGCTGATCGTCACAGGATCTCAGTCTGACATACCTGACTTTCCAATACTAGAATAGCAGTTTCATGTACTGCGGGTCATGCTCTGCCCTCTTTAAATATACAAGACAGGCTGGCAGGGAGGGATTAGCTAAATCCTGGCCAGTTCTTCCTGCCCTCCCTGCTCACCCCGCTTGCCCTTCCCCTGTGGGCAGACTCTGTGCTTGAAGGTCTGCCGGTCATCAGGGGCTTTATAACAATCCCTCTCGATCGCCTTTTGATCCAGCTGAAAAGGGACAAAGTTCCCAATCAGAGTCCCTCCTCGTCTGTTACTAACTGCTGCAAAAGGCTCAGTTTGAGAATGGTAAATATTTTCATAGTAATTGATTTGCTGATATTATCGTGCTTTCCTTCACTATCTTATTTTTACAGGTAGTCCTTAAATCACAACTGGGACTGGAAGTTTGGTCACTAAACAGTGTGGTTGTTAAGCAAGTCACCATGTGACCGGATCCAATGTTACCATAGTTTTTACTGCCGTTGTTAAGTGAATCACATGGTGAAGTGAATCCAGCTTCCTCTTTTGACTTTGCGTGTTGGACACTGGCTGAGGAAGCCGGAAAGTGGGATCAGGTGACTGCAGGACATTGCAGCCGGTCATAAATGGGAGCTGGTTGCCAAGCACTCAAATTGCAATCCGTTGACCACACGGGTGGTGTGACAGTCATAACTTTGAGGACAGTCTCTGGAGATTCTCAGTCTCTTCCAGGTCACAGTTATCCCAAAGGTGCTCTTTCAGGAGGCAACTGGACTTCCTTGTTTTTCTTTGAAGGCATTTCGCTTCTCATCCAAGAAGCTTCTTCAGTTCTGTCATGTTACTCACTACTCAGGTGACCCTGAGGACACCGACCTCTCTCCAAGTGGCCTCAAGGACTCCCTAAAAGAAGGCAAATGACCAGCTGTCTGTAAGGAGTATAAATCCTTCCATTCCCCACCATCCGGTCAGAGCTGAGGAAGCTTCTGGGATGAGAAGTGAAACCTCTTCAAAGCAAAACAAGAATGTCCAGTTGCCTCGTGGAGAAAGCATATTTAGGATACTTTGAGGAGAGGTTCTAACTAACCGTTTTCAGTGCTGTTGCAGCTCCAAATATGAAATGTTTGTAAGTCAAGGAGTATTGTACTTTCTCCTTTATAAATTACTTGGACAAAGTGTTGGATTCCTAAATTAATCAGCTTTTCTCATTTTTTCCCTTTTCCCTTCCCTTTTAAAATTAGATTTTCCAGTTTTTAAGTTATCAAGAGAAGGGGGATATTAGCTAATCTTCAGCCAGTCGTGATCTAGTCTAGCTAGTTGAGTCAACATTTTGTAAGTCAGATTTTTTTTTTTTTACCTCATTCTGAGTTGGAGTTATTGGTGGTGGAAGGTGGGAGTAATGCTTTGGGCAGGTCCTTTACAAGGCAGGCATCAGCATGTTTCTTCCTCAGTGTTGTCTGCCAGCCTTGCATAGACTGATACGTGAAGGACTCTGTGTATCTCTGGAGCAGTTGGACTCTTTGCAGGCAATGCTTTTTCAAAGAACATTCACTATCCCTTCTGTCTTTAAATGTTATTGTGTTTCCCTCTGCAGAGGGCAACTCCTTTGTCTCCTGGCTTAGTTTACAATACTGTACTTCTGGGATGTTTGTGCTGCTGTGTGATCAGTCTTCTTAACCTTATTTTATATTATCTTAAAGAAAATCAAAATCCCTTGCTCTTGTCCTACTTGAAGTGAGTGAGATTTATTTGGACCTATCTAGTCCTTTGTGAAAGCCAATCTTCACTCATGCATCCCTTGGGAATCCAGGCTTCTTGACCTTGCTGGGACCAGATTCAAGAGAGACACAGGGTTGTGTTACAGATGCATGGGAAAAGATGCCCAGTGAGAGCATCCGAGCTTCAAAATTATGTGGGTTTCACCTGTATAGAGCTGATTTTGCAAAATACCGTCTAAAAGAAAGTCTGCTTATCTAAGAAATTAACATAAAGAACAGAAACAGCAACTGGATGAATTTTCAAGTCGTGGGCATCTTCAGTGGTATAACTGTTGCCAGTACTTCTAGACTAGGAGTTTCCATATGTGCTCAGAGTGCTTTTGTTACCCCACGTAGTAACAAAAGAGAAGACTGAAATGAAATACTTCTTTAAAACAATCCGTGCACCACTAGAGATAGGTCACCAGAGAGTCCTGTTCTAAGAAATATCAGCAAGAGTAACTCTTTGGCGATGCTCTTCCTGGAGATTCAGTGGTACAACTTTTTTGATTCCTTCACAGCAGAGGTGGGAAATTAATTATAGCCCCTTTAGGACTTGTGGACCGGCTCAGGAATTCTGGGAGTTGAAGTCCACAAGTCTTAAAGGGGCCTTGGTTCCCCACCCTTACTTTACGGGGAAAGCCAACTCAAATAGTAAAACGAAGATGTTCGCTCTGCTTATTATATGTCCAGGTGGGGGGTTGCATGTATGAGAAGCAAAGAGCCTTATTAAGCCCCCTCATGCCCAGCCATTAAACATTAGAGATGGCAAATGAGGTGGGGAATCGGGAAAGAAGACAGGAAAATTGATCCCCTCCAGTAATTTGGCAGGAATGTGCTGTGCCGAAGGGATTTTAACGTATGCCGTGGCTTCTGCTTATGTCAGGCCTGATCGGCCTTTTTTTTTTATGTTTTGGCCTGTAGGAAGGGCAAATCTTGATGGGGAGGGTGAGGCATCATTTTGGAGAGGGTTAAGGGTGGATGACTTAAGCTTTGCTGGGAGTTGAGACACCTATTTTGTACTTGAAAAGCCCCCCCCCCAAATATCAGCTTACTTAGAAGTTCCCCAAAGCTTTGTTGTTGGCCCCACAGAGCCTCAGAATGGGCACCAGCAAATGTGTGTTGCTTCTTCCAGTCTTAATTGATGTTAGTAATGTCTGTGTTGGCCTTGCCTTGGCATAAAGCTCCAGAAGGGTGGTGAAATAAACAGGGCCCCGGGTCTCCCTCTGAAGCCCCACCCTTGCCAGGCAGGGATGGGATGGGAATGTCTTGACGGATACGCATTACGGAAATCTAAACGTCTTGTTCTCTTCTCTTCATGAGCCTGAATGCTTGCTTGGCAGATTTTTCCCCCAGGGAAGGGAGATTCTGGGATCCAGATTGCTCAGAGATGTTCAAAGGCAGTGCAGCTGAGCTCCTCATGGCTTCTTGGGTTGAGGTTCTTCCTTCTAAATTAGTGTTTTTCAACCTCAGCAGCTTTAAAAATGGTGGACTTCAACTCCCAGAATTCCCTAGCTAGCATGCTGACTAGAGAATTCTGGGAACTCAAGTCCACCCATCTAAAAGTTGCCGAGGTTGGAAAACCCTCCTCTAAATGCGTAGCAAGGGGGAACGTGCTGAAAATTGTACAAGTTATGGTGACTTTCCTGGGGGAGCACTTAAAAAGAGGATGTGTAGACCGAAGAAAAATCTATTTGAGGCTTTGTTTCACAGATGTCCTGGTCAAAAGATGGATGCAGTGGCAAGTTTTATTTCAGTTTCATTTTCACGTTTGAACCATCAGAAATAGAGTCTGAGGTGGCACTTACAGAACTAAAGTTTGCAGCCACAAGAAGGGGCATTTTTGTCTGTTGCACATGAATCTTTGGATGTGTTCATTTGCCTCATGACGATGGCGTCCCCCTCAAGCCGCCGCTGGAATTTTATTGCCTCCAAAACGCGGAGGGCCTCGTACAAGTAGACTTGGCCAAAACGCTTGTGGACAAGGAGCAGAGAGGGTTTACCCAGCATAAGCGAATGCCTTAGTTTGCCTTGCCAAATCCCTGTTTGCCTTTCAGACACCTGACTCACGCTAATGGGAACCCCTGACCTCCTCAAGATGGTGGACTTAGAGCACAGCCAGCTCTGCCCCTTTGTTCCCTCAAAGGCCTATCAAGACCCTCTTCCTTTATCTTAAGACATTTTGCAAGCGATGGAGACCATGAAAGAACTTTCACTGTCGATAAGCGCAGAGAGCTCTGGAGCATTAACTGACTTCCAGTCGCTGGGAAACGGTTCAGACGGATCTGTCCATACAGGTAAAAACCCTTCAATTGTTCTCAGATAATAAAAGATAAAGAGGATGAAATTTAAATTCAGATTGTCTCTAAGCAGAGTAGGGCCACCGCCTTTGATCTTATCTTACATCATGTAGATAAATTTGCCTTGATGTCTTCATAGACAACTCTGAAAAGCAAGTGATAAAGAAGTTAGTTAACTGATGGGCATCATTTCACATTGCCTGTATTTTGTGTGGACAAGAATTGCTTTAAGTGCTTTATTTTCTACATTGCCTAGACAGAAACTAGATTGGGGGTGGGTGGTGGGTAGGATCCTTCTAGAAATAATTGTGCATGCTCTGAATTCAGACAGGAATGTTGGACTGTGTGTTGTGTGCTGTCACTCGTTACAATTAAGATTGTGTGAAACTTGGAAAAGCTCTGGAGTGATTTTTGTGATAGTAATTAGCACTTCTCAGTACACACCCCCAGTCAGATCCCCCAAGCAGGCTGGGCCCCGTCCTATAAAGCCTGGCGTGCTTTTCATTTTGTTTGGAATTCTTTTGAGAGGAGCAGAAGAGAGGAGGGCTAGAAAAGAAAGGGCAATTGCTGCTCAGAGCGCAATTCTTACAGGAATATGGATCTGAGGTAGAGCGAGGGGTCCTCGGCACTTGGTGAACTTGGTCGTTTTCTTGCATCCCCAGTGCTGGAAGGGAAAGAGGTTGGCTCTTAAGAGGCACTGGTGGTGATTCCCCCTGGTCTGCAAGAAAACAGGCCAGCTCAGAGAGCACCCAGGACGCCTCGTCTCCACCCTGAGCTGCAAATATTCTCCTTTATTGATGCAGAATAACACTTATTGGGAAGAAACCTGCATTTTTATCCCAGAAGGGTACCTGGCGGTGTCTTAAATTCTTCCTTGTCATTTCAAGAATTCAAATTCAAACACAAAGGCCTTCTTTACATAAACTTTGCTTTCCAAGGCGGTGGTGATGCCTAAGGGTTCAAAAATGGTATTTTCTGCTAACCTCTCTAAAGCCACTTTGGCTGCCTGGACCATATAGGAAACCAGGCATTTGCTTCAGAGTCTAAGACAAAAACTAGTGGATAAGGAAAAAACCTTAAGCTCTGGAGGGAGCAAAGTGTGGGCGACACGATAGGAAATAGGCGGTCTGGGAAGGTGGTAGAAGCAGAAGACTTAACTTTACCCTTCAGGGACGCCTCAGTCGTAGGGTCTCTGTTTTGGCAAGGCCTGGACTGGACGAATTCCTGTCCCCGTGAATATCCCTGCCTTGGCTCCTGGTTCATGCCACTCGGGCTTTTATTTGGGAGGGGTGGAGGGTTGATTTTCAGGACTGAAAAAGTGATAAAAGACGCCTGTTGTCTTCCAGTACTTTGTATTTCCCTTGTGATGCTATTTGTTGCTAAAGCAAGAAGGGGCAGCCCCATCCTTCTGCAGCCCCTGAAGCACCCTGAGATTGTGCTTCAGAAAATATCCAAATTATGGGGGTGAGGACAATGTTTGGCTTGAAAAGAAAACAAAAAAAGTGGGAATACTGGAAGACAAGTGCTTACCCACGAGTCCCCCAGCTCTCTCAAATGGTGAAACTAGAACACAGTTTTCCAGGATTGGGACTACCGTATATCAGCACAGATGACCTTCTGCAGCTTGCTGGTGATTTCAGAGGTGCTATTTCAGCCCGCAGCCTGAGAAGCTTTGCCCATCCATCCACTAAAGGTTTCCAGAAAGAAAATGCATGGAGGAGCGGGAAAATTCAGTTCAGGCCTTCAGCTAGAGATGGGAAACAACATAGCTGTCAAACTCTGGGTTCCTCCTCCCAACAGTTACATTAGACAAGCTTTCTTTTCCTTTGCTTTCTGTGTTCCTTTTCTGCTTTACGAGCGCAGCCGGTGCCTTAAGGTTCCCTCGGTGGGCGTCACTTCCACAACCGCCTGCCTGAGTTTGCACTAAGGTTTTCCTTGCTCTCTTCTCTCTATTCTTCCTACAAGACCCCAACATTCCCAGGCAGCTGATGGATTTGATTTCCTTCCCTTCCTCTGGGATGAAGACATGGGATGTCTGCATTCCTCCATTTCTGATTCCTGCATCTAGAGCAAAGGTCCCCAACCTTTTGGGCACCAGGGACCGGTTCCGTGGAGAGAGGTTTTTCCACGGACCGGAGGGTGCGTGGTTGTGTGTGCTGCCTGCATCCCGCGGATGGGGCTTTGCCTGTTTGTGCGGGCAAGTTGATGGCATGCCGTGGACCGGTACTGGTCCACGGACCGGAGGTTGGGGACCCCTGATCTAGAGCAGTGGTGGGGAACTGTGGCCCTTTTATGACTTGTTGACTTCAACTCCCAAAATGGCTGGCTCAGGGATTCTGGGAGTTGAAGTCCACAGGTCATAAAAGGGCCACAGTTCCCCACCCTGGTCTAGAGAGCCATGTTGGCTAGAACGACTCAGATAATAGCTTCCAGGTTAAGCGGTCAGGGATGACAACAGCTGAGGCTTCCTCCTTCTTCCCTTGGCAGATTCTCTCTCGCCCGCCTCCAGCCCCTCCTCTGTGAATCTCACCGCTCTTCCCAATAGCAGAGATGAGCTCCCCAGCGTGGCCTTAAACATTGAATGTAGAATCTGTGGAGATAAAGCGTCAGGCTATCACTATGGAGTCCACGCTTGCGAAGGTTGCAAGGTAAGGGCTTAACTGGGGTTTTTTTTCACAGTGGCACTAAACATTATGGGAAGCTTGGATGACAGCATCAGAGAGCAGAGCTTTTGAAAAGAATAAAAAGGAGATTCCCCTTCATTGCGTAGAACACACTTTGTGGAGAATATATGTTGTTTTGTGGACACGCAGCTATCAAAACGGTTTAAGGGACTTTAGAGCATTTTCCTCTCCAGGTAGATTCACAGTGTTTCTCAACCTTGACAATTTTAAGGCATGTGGACTTCAACTCCCAGAATTCCACAGCCAGCAATGCTGGCTGTGGAATTCTGGGAGTTGAAGTCCACATGCCTTAAAATTGTCAAGGTTGAGAAACACTGAGATAGAACAATCCCTATTTCTTAACGAAGTCCTACAATATCTGCATTTTCCAGGAATGTAGTGGGCATATCGGAAAGGAAGGGTTTAGCTGTTTACTAATAGATTGTCCCCATGTGATTGGATCTGTGACCTTTGAAACTGTGTCTGGAAAAGCTGGAAGCAGATTAAGGTCTTGGAAAATGTTGGTTTTGGACCTATCGATAATGCAGAAACGCTCACTAGAGCAAGAACGGGGCCTTTTTAAAAGGCCCCTGATCTGCTGACATTTCACAAAGCAAAAAGGTGCGTCTGACCTTCTCTACCAATGCAACTCTGAAGGAGTTCTCGACTTAACGACCACAATTGGGCCAGAATTTCCATTACTAAGCAAGGTGGTTGTTAAGCGAGTCACACCTGATTTTATGACCTTTTTTGCCATTAAGCAGATCGCGCTTCCCCCATTTGCTTGCCAAACCTGGCTGGGAAGGTCACAAAGAACCAAATCATGGAGCCCTAGAATGCTGTAACCATCCTAACTACAGGCTGGTTGCCAAGCAACCAGATTTTGATCACATGACCGTGGGGAGGCTACGACGGTTGTACATTTGAGGGCCGGTCATAAGTCACTTATTTCAGTGCCATTGTAACTTTGAATGGTCACTAAATGATTGGTTGTAAGTTGGGGACTGCCTGTATGTGGAATACTAAAAAAAAAATTATTATTGTTCTTGTATGATGACGACCTTAGCATTTTCCGTGATGATGGGATACATTTTTAATGTAAACGGGTCACCACGATATGAAAAAGATGTGGAGACTCTGGAAAGGTGCAGAGAAGAGCAACAAAGATGATCAGGGGACTGGAAGCTGAAACTTAGAAAGAACAGTGGTTGGAATTGGGTATGTCTAGTTTAACGAAGAGAAGGACACGGGGGGACATGATAGCAGTGTTCCAATATCTCAGGGGTTGCCCCATAAAAGAGGGAGTCAAGCTATACTCCAAAGCACCTGAAGGCAGGACAAGAAGCAACGGATGGAAACTAACTGAGGAGAGAAACAACCTGGAACTGAGGAGAAATTTCCTGACAATGAGAACAATTAACCAGTGGAACCACCTGCCTCCAGAAGTGGTGAATGCTCCAACACTGGAGGTTTTTAAGAAGAGACCGGACAGCCATTTGTCCGAAATGGTATAGGGTTACCTGCCTGAGCAGGGGGTTGGACTAGAAGACCTCCAAGGTCCCTTCCAACTCTCTCATCCTGTTATATTCTGTTATAGTCCACTTTACTTTTGGCTCTCTTTTATTCTGTGTGTCTCTCAAAAGCCAAACTCTAGCCTAGCTGTATTTACTTCCTATAATGCATTTACTAGAGATTGTGCTTCAAACGGACGTCTGTCCCTTTGGAAGAAGGGTCGGTTCCCCTTTCCGAGTATTCACCTTTTGTTTCCTGACCCTGTCTGTCCTTAGGGCTTTTTCAGGCGAACCATCAGGCTAAAACTTATTTACGACCGATGTGATCGCAGCTGCAAAATCCAGAAAAAGAACCGAAACAAGTGCCAATACTGTCGTTTTCAGAAGTGCCTTTCTGTTGGGATGTCTCATAATGGTAGGTAAGGGTGTCCGTCAGTTTTGAGGGGGCCGCTGGGATCCTCCCCACAGGGGCAAAGCCGGAGGGGCCGGAGCCATCCGTCCACACAATCGTAGGCTGCTTCGCCATTTGTTCTGGTAAAGGGAACTCAGTGCAAACGTCATGATGTCCTTGCACAAACATTTTTGCAACGTTTGGTTAATAGGTAACTCTGCACAAATGTTATACATTAACATATATGTAATGGCATTTTGTTTAGTACTTTTTCCTTCCATTTATGTTCTTTGAAAGTCCACGGGATGCTTTTTTTTTAATTGAGCAATTGCAGACTTGATATGGAATTAAATCCTTGCTGTGTCATGACCTAGCAACAGCAACTAAATCCTAGCTGGCTTGGAGCCAGCTCTTTATTGCAGGGAAGAAAAAGTCTGATGACATCCCCCAGATGCGTAATCGTTCTGTTTTTCCTTCCTCAAGATACTTCTGTGTACAGATTGGTGCAGGATAGGTCTTATTTTCCGTCTCTTGGTTGCCATGGTCTGTAAAAACTGGATATATATCCTTAGATTTATTTTAGGTTTCTCACACTGCCCAAGGAGCTGCTGATACAGTTCTACAAAGGAATTATTGAGACTGTCATTTGCACGTCTGTAACTGTCTGGTTTGGCACAGCAACCAAACAAGACAGACACAGACTCCAACGGATAGTTAGGACTGAGGAAAAAAAACACAGCTGCAGCCAGCCTGCCTTCCACTGAGGACCTGTATCCTGCAGTGCCAGAAGGAGGGCTGAGAAAATGTCTGCAGACCCCTCACCTCCTGCACATCAACCGTTTCAAGGTCTTCCCTCCAGGCGACGCTGTAGGGCGTTGCACGCGAAAACAACCAGAGACAAAGACAGATTCTCCCCCCACAACCATCACTCTGCTAAACAACCAATTCCCACAACACCCTCTGTGCCCTACTAGGATGTCAGACTACCTGGTAGAGGGCTGTATTACCTATTACGCTTCTCATCTTTTCATTTTTCCTGTTTCCTAAGCTTTTGACTATAACTGTGTTATTTGTATCTCATGATTTATGTTGATTGCCTTCCTTTAGTATCTATTATGATTTATATTGTTTGTTTATTTATTATCCTATGACTATCACTGATTTATGATGATTGTATTTTATGATTATGATCAAGATTTATCCCTTGTTGCTTGTATGTACACTGAGGGCTTCTGCACCAGAGACACATTCCTTGTGTGTGCTCAGTCACACACGTTGGCCAATGAAGAATATTCTGTTTTCTTCTGCTCTGTTTCCTCTGCCACCTCACACCGCAGAAGCAACAGAGGCTACAGTGTAAATCCCTCAAGGCTTGCAGTATTAGTCTAGCATTATCTCATGGTTTGAGGAACAATAAGCTGCCTTAATCCTAAAGCAGAGGTGGCACCATGTTTTGTCTTAGAATTTCTTTCTGCCGGAGGTGTCTGACGGAATTCCCGGCAAAATGTAACAGGTGTATCTGTTCCATAAATAAAGGTTTCAGACTGAAAGCACTATATATATATATATATATATATATATATATATATATATATATATATATATGTGTGTGTATATATATATATGGTAAAAAGATAAAATGAACACCAGGGTAATAAAAACTGTAAAAGTTTTTAATTAATTAAAACTATAAAAGTTCAATTAAAAAGCGCCAAGCTTTCGCCGTCACCTGCCGGCATCCTCAGGGCTAGCGCGCCAGAGAATGAGAGAGTCCTTTATAGGCGTGTCAAGGTTTGCGCCCGGCTCCTTGATCTCGTTATCGGGCCTGATTGGTTCAATTGCGTACAGTTAACCTGTTCTTCCTTGTTCTTTTTGGTTACATGTCTATCCTCATCCATCCTTATTTCTCTTAACCCTGGGGTGGATGGATGACAACTCCAGCTGTTTCGGTTGTCTTTATATTCTAACTTCCCCCCAGGTTCAGGTGGTAATACACATTCCACATTCCTTTCACAGCCATATCCTGTCAAGTTGTTCTTTTTAAAGTAACTTCCCCTTCTAATTCCAATACTTTCATTTTTAGTGCACTTGTCATCCGGGTGGTCCTGCGAGCTGTTAGGAGTCAAATACGACATGCGGGTGGCAGTCCGGGGTGCGGATTGTTCAGCCGAATGAAGGGGCTCTTTCCTAATCACCGCTACACCCAGCTGTCTTGCGCGCGTCCTACTTCGGGTACTCGGTCCGGGGGGGGGAACGGTAACCGGATCACGCTCCTTCTGGTTGCCACAATGCTCCTCTTCAGCTCTCCCTTTTTCTGCGTTGTTAATGTCCATGTGTATTCCATGGGAGTCTTCGGGATCGTCTGGCGGGGGGTGCGATGATTCGATCTCTCGCACCTCGCCGCTCTCCGATCCTCTCTCCTCCTCTTCGGCAGTGCTCGGGAGTTCGTCATTGGTTGCGTCTTGTAATCTGCTCCTTCTGGATCCGGCCGTCCTGGCTGCACGAAAGGGTCCGCACCCCGGACTGCCACCCGCATGTCGTATTTGACTCCTAACAGCTCGCAGGACCACCCGGATGACAAGTGCACTAAAAATGAAAGTATTGGAATTAGAAGGGGAAGTTACTTTAAAAAGAACAACTTGACAGGATATGGCTGTGAAAGGAATGTGGAATGTGTATTACCACCTGAACCTGGGGGGAAGTTAGAATATAAAGACAACCGAAACAGCTGGAGTTGTCATCCATCCACCCCAGGGTTAAGAGAAATAAGGATGGATGAGGATAGACACGTAACCAAAAAGAACAAGGAAGAACAGGTTAACTGTACGCAATTGAACCAATTAGGCCCGATAACGAGATCAAGGAGCCGGGCGCAAACCTTGACACGCCTATAAAGGACTCTCTCATTCTCTGGCGCGCTAGCCCTGAGGATGCCGGCAGGTGACGGCGAAAGCTTGGCGCTTTTTAATTGAACTTTTATAGTTTTAATTAATTAAAAACTTTTACAGTTTTTATTACCCTGGTGTTCATTTTATCTTTTTACCATGAATACCCCCAGGGTTCATATTTTTAACTTTCTTTATCATATATATATATATATATATATATATATATATATATATATATATATATATATGTTTTTCTGAGGTTTTCGCGGGGTGTTTGTATGTAGGTCTTTGGTTGTTCGGGTTTTCTCCCGCGTAAACGTCGCCAAGACACTTCCAATTTTACGCGGGGAGAAAACCCGAACAACCAAAGACCTACATATATATATATATATATATATATATATATATATATATATATATATATATATATATATATATATCCTACCTTCAGCTCTCAAGCATCAGTAACCATACTTTAGTTTGATGCAGGATTTTGGAATTTTAATGTTATGCCAGCAATACTAAAGAAATTTATTTAGTTATTTCTTCACAGATCTTCCCCTGTCATAGCGAGAGAGAGAGAGGGAGAGAGAAGCAGGTAACAAGTTTAGAAATGGGAGACATGGCATTTAAGTAGTCTAAATATAAAACTGCTGTGAAAGGGAATCACTTTTCCATGTCTGGGTACTGAATACTTTCCCACGTGGGAAAGAATCTCAGACTACTTAGGTGAAATTCTCAAGCTTCACTTCAGTAAAACTTTGGAGCCATAGAACTGCAAAAACGTAGAGCTCTCCTTCCGTGTTGTTGCACATGCTAGGCCAAAGTCTGTCCTCATTCTGTGGTGTGGAAAGGGGGTCTGCAACCCTCGAGAGACAGAAAGACAAAGCCAGGCCCTCATTTTAGGAGGTTCCTTTGCAGCCTCTCCAACAAGTCTTGGGTTCAGGTGAAGAAGGACACATCTGAGAAGATGCCCACATGCAGATCCTTGTTAAACCAAGAAGACAAGACTGCAAGGGTTTATTACATTTGAGTTTAACTACTTGGATGCCCTGTGTTGACTCACTGTTCTTATATGGGTATTTTTCAAGCTAGCTACTCAAGATGTATGGACTTCCAACTTCCAAAATTCCAGTGCTGGCTGGGGTATTCTGGGAGTTGAAGTCCAAGCACCTTAAAATGGCTAAAGCTGGAAAACACCGCATTAGACTTTTCTGAAATTTTCCTTCTGTGTTTTATATATAATTTTATTGAAGATTTTTTTAAAAAGAAAGATAAAAACACATAAAAATTAATATAAAGAAAAGAAAAAGAAATGACGCCTTCTTTCTTGATTACCTTTTTTCCTTCTACATTTTATATTAAAATAAATATAATTGTCATAGATTTCAGCCATACTTCTCACCCTGTCTCCACAGAACCTTTGACATATGTATATGTTCCTCTTTCCTCCTCCTCACCTTGACCTTTCTGTATACTTAATGCTCTCTCTTTTTTCTGTCCTCTGAGTTTTGTTCTGGTTTTTTAACCTTCCTTGAGTTTGACCCCAGTGAGGTAGAGCAGACCATGAAGCACGATTGCCAGCGGTTAAGGAATGGGGCTCCATTTCAGCAGGTGCCTTTGAAATGAAAGGAAGGATGGCTAGCACAGGTTGAATCCTACTGACTTTCTGGTGGGTACAGTCTTGCTATGTTCATGATGTATTTAGAAGGGATTGGCTGCATGTGGCTAAAAAGGATCTCTCGGTCATTGGTAAATTGTAGATAACCTGGTCTGTTCTCTCTTAGTACTATTGAAGTTGAATGTGTCTACGCCAGTGTTTTTCAAACTTGGCAACTTTGCGCTGTTATCTGGGGAATTTGGGGTATTGAAGTCCACCCCTTTTAAAGTTGCCAAGTTTATAAAACACTGGTCTACACAGTCCTTACACAACCCAACGTACGATAGAGTCCAGAATGGGAGAATATCTGTGGGCGAGAGGGTGTGTGTTGTATTCTTACGCTCCCTTTTCAATGCTCGTTTTCCCCTCAGCCATTCGATTTGGACGGATGCCCAGATCAGAAAAGGCAAAGCTGAAAGCTGAAATCCAAACAGGTGAACTTTGTATAGAAAATTCCGAAGTCGCAGATCTTAAGTCACTGGCCAAGAGAATTTATGACGCCTATTTGAAAAACTTTAATATGACCAAGCTGAAAGCCAGGCTCATCCTTGTGGGGAAAGCCAATAACAATCCTGTAAGTATGCACCGTCACAGAATTCCATAAAAGCAAACTACACGAATGGCACACTGAATGCACATATAAGAGAATAGATTTATAAAACAGTGATAGAAATTTTCTCTGACAGTAGCTTCTTTTGTGATGCACACGGGTCCTTGTGTTAAAAAAGTTTTGATTAGCCCTTAATAACTTACCCATATGTAAATATACTAAATCGCTTAGTTTGTTACAAAGATCAAAGTTTCTGTAGCTGAGTGACAGCTTTATTTTCCAGATATTTTAATAATGTATGTCTCAATTTTCAGTAAGCAATCATAACAGCTTACTGAGCAAATGAACATCATAACACACCCCCACACACAAAAGCCCTTTTTGCAATGCAGCTAGTATATGGGAATAACATTCAAAAAGTGTTTAAAATAAGTGGCAGATTGTGACATTTGGGCTCTTGTGGGTATTCTTGCTGAATCATCAATACGTAAGACACATATTTAGGAAATGTTTAACGAGGGACAGCCACATGGCTGTGGATCTTAAGTTCCAAACCATCAGTTTCTCCAATTATTTCCTATGGAAGAACTAATTTACCTAATACATCGTTTAAATTGAATGTGCTGAAAGGAAGAACAGGGAACATGTAACAAGCATTTAAAAACTGTGCTGCTGCAAAGTTTGGTAAAAATGCTCCTGTGAGTTGACTTCACCTAAAAGGAAACACCTATTGCACATTTTAAGCATTTTATGAATACAGGTAATCCTTGTCTTACGTCCACAATGGAGCCCAAAAAATTATGTTGCTAAGTGAGACATTTGTTAAGTGAGTTTTGCCCCATTTTACAGGATTAAGTGAATCACTGCAGTTGTTAAATTAGTAACACAGTTGTTAAGTGAACCCGGCTTCCCCATTGACTTTGCTTGCCAGAAGGTCGCAAAGGGGATCACGTGACCCCGAGACGCGGCAACCGTCATAAATGTGAACCAGTTGCCAAGCATCTGACTCTTGATCCCATGACTGTGGGGATGCTACAACGGTCGTAAGTTGAAAAATGGTCATAAGTCACTTTTTTTCAGGCCATTGTAACTCTGACTAGTCACTAAACAAACTCTTGTAAGTCAAGGACACCCGTAAATGAAACCTTAGGGACAGGGCATCCTTAAGTTGGAAAGGGCCCTTTGTCGAAGCCTTGGTCAGTGTAAAGTTCCCAATTAACCCCTCATAAATAGCTCCCTCATCTCCACTTCGGCACCTCCATTGTCCACCTGCCCTTGGGGTCAGTCAGCTTTTCCTGCCATTTGCGTAGAATCCGCCTTCCTGTCACTTAATCCATGGTTCCCTGTCCCGTTCTCTGGAAAGAGAGAGAGGACCGTTGATTCCCACGACTGCTTTTCTGCTGCGTTATCAGAAGTAGCTCAGACGGTCACAGAGAAGAGGAGTCCTCTGGGTCGTTGCTGTTATTATTGAATTTCATCATTTAATTTAATTTAATTCTGGTTTCCCAAAGAGAAAAAGGTTGCACCTTATAGTTCCTGGCAGTTACTTAACCCAGGCGCCCGCTCTCTTCCTTTCGCCGCAGCCGTTTGTCATACACGACATGGACACGTTGTGCATGGCCGAGAAGACGCTGGTGGCAAAACTTGTAGCAAACGGGATCCAAAACAAGGAGGCAGAGGTGAGGATCTTCCACTGTTGCCAGTGCACCTCGGTGGAGGCCGTGACGGAACTCACGGAATTTGCCAAATCAGTTCCTGGCTTCTGCAGCCTCGACTTGAACGACCAGGTGACCCTCTTAAAATACGGGGTGTACGAAGCCATCTTTGCCATGTTGGCCTCCGTGATGAACAAAGACGGGATGCTCGTCGCTTACGGGAACGGCTTCATCACGCGGGAATTCCTCAAAAGTTTAAGGAAGCCTTTTTGTGATATCATGGAGCCAAAGTTTGACTTTGCTATGAAATTCAACGCCTTGGAATTAGACGACAGCGACATCTCCCTTTTCGTGGCTGCTATAATATGTTGTGGAGGTAAGCCTTGAGTCGCCGTTGTCCTTCCTGTAACAATCATGATACATTTTACAGAGTGTGTTTCTCGTAAGGTTTCTGCTTTCTGCTGAAAAAGGAACCCATTTCAGACTCAACAGGTATTTCGAGTTCAATATTTATTGTCCATACTTTGCCAGAATTATTCCAATATTTTTCTGGTGGCAGCAGGACCGTTTCATGTTTATAAACAGATGTTTCCGTATGAAAGTGTTCATAATATAGTAACTTTATCCTTGTAGTCAGTCAAGGATCAACATGAACTCTTGATAACGCAGCCAAAAAAGTTCTGCATCCCTTTTCAAAGGGATGCAAAATGATGCTGTATGCGACACACCGGTAGAGGTAGTCCTTGTTCAGCAACTAGTATTGTGACCAGGAAAGCAGTCACTAAGTGGAACCACAGCTGTGCTTTGTGGGGTCCTTGGTGCTCTCTAAGCTTCATTGTTTTCTTGCAGACATCATGATGTTGCCTAGTTTGGTAAGAAAATGTCTGCAAGAAAACAGCCAAGCTCAGAGAATACCAAGAACTCTTAGTAAGAGTTCAACCCTGAGCAAAAAAATACTCTTTACCAGAATGACTGTGCTTTATCGTCTCCTTTCAGTTTTCCTTTGCTTTGCAGACCTGTGACGGTCGTAAATGCAAGACTGGGGGTACACTTATTTTTCATCACTGCCGCAAAAGTGGTTACCAAACGAGGCAGTGGCTAAATAAGGGCTGCCTATATAATGTCTGGGCATTGTTGATACAGCTCCTAAGTAAAAAGCATTTTCTATTAGAAAAAAAGGGCAGATAAATGCTTTGAACCCATTAGCTGTGATAGGATAACGCAGTTACATTAACCTTCTTCTTTTTGAGAACAGATCGGCCAGGCTTGGTCAATATAGGACACATTGAGAAGATGCAGGAAAGCATCGTGCACGTACTGAAACTTCACTTAGAAAACAACCATCCGGATGACATTTTCCTCTTCCCCAAACTCCTCCAGAAAATGGCAGATCTCCGGCAGCTTGTCACGGAACACGCTCAGCTAGTTCAAATAATCAAAAAGACCGAATCCGATGCACACTTACATCCTTTGCTACAAGAAATATACAAGGATATGTACTGAGGTGGTTTCGGTTTTGTACCGTAGGCAAAGCAGTAGCAACTCGACCGGATACTTCGGACGCGGGGTCTCTGTTGTGCCTCAGCTGGAACATTTGCAGTCCTAAAATTTGGGTAACTGGAATATCCATTTCTCTTGCAGGGGTTCAGTAATTGAAAGAGATTGCATAACAGAGAGAGAGATGATGATGATAGTAAGTGTTGATTGATTTGAAATTTGGGCCATGGTGGGAATTGCGTTGTGCCACAGCTTAATTCACAAATACAATGCCTTCTGATGTTCGTGCACTTTTAAGCATTTGTTCCCCCCTCCCACTTCCTTAATATGTGAAAGTCAGTTGTTTGGGGCAGGATCCAAAGAGCTTTGGGGCAGGCAGTGGACGATTGCGCCTCTCTCACAGTTTGCAGGAGGAATTATACTTGAAACTCAGGGATGTTTTGAAAACAGAGAAGGTGAGAGGGCTTGCCATTCAAGGGGGGAAGGGTTATATGCATCTTTTAGAGGCGTCTGACTTTGTTCCTGGGATGGGTTGCGTTTGGTACCCAGATCGGTGACCGTAGAAAAGCCGTGGTGGCACAGTGATGAGAATGCAGCATTGCAGGCAAACTGCTGCTCACAGTCAGCAGTTCGATCCTGACCGGCTCAAGGTTGACTCAGCCTTCCATCCTTCCGAGGCTGGCAAAATGAGGACCCATTTTGTTGGGGGGGGGGCAAGAGGCTGACTCTGTAAACTGCTTAGAGAGGGCTGTAAAGCACTGTGAAGCGGTATATAAGTTTAAGTGCTATTGTTATAGCAGAGTGTTTTTCTTAGAAAAAACAACACTACTTTTTCTGGCTAAGATTACAATCTGAGTTCCCTAGAATTATGTGGAACCTCTATAAGTTTAGCTGTATAGTATCGAGGACTCCAGGTGAAACATCGGAGGAATGTCGGGACAGGAGAGTGAGGATCTCCCACCCCCACAGCCTGCCAGCCCCTCAAAGGGTGCCTCTGAGGGTTGGAGAGAGGGCAGAGACTAAGGAGAGCAGCCAAATTTGAAGAGAAGTTGGATTCCACCGTTATGCCAGATCTCAAGGACTTTGGGAATCTCAGTGGAATATGAGCTTCTTGTGCTTCTTTTGCTATGATACGAATCACGCCGCATGACTGATAATCTGGACTAACATTCCCTTAGTTATGTAAACTAAGGTGGGCTCAGAGCTTGGCTTCAGTCTTGAATGTCTGAAATAAGGGGGTCAGCCTGGAATTGAAATGGATTGTAATCCTGCATTGAAGGATGAAGAACACCCAACATTTCATGGAAGCCCTGGTGAATAACATTGGCATCTAATTTGCACTGAAATGTGGAATGGAAACTGGGAGTTACTTAACACTACGGATATTTCCTAGTTTGGTGGCAGCCAAAATACTTCTAAGAGGCTAGAAGTATTTTTGAAAAGGGATGGAACTTAGCTCAACTCATAAGTGGGAACTTGAATAGTCTACAGCAGGAATGTCCAAGCTTGGCAGCTTTTAAGACTTGTGGACTTCCAAGTCACAGAATCCTTCAGCCGGCCACGCTGGTTGGGGAATTCTGGGAGTTGAAGTCCATAGGTCTTAAAGTCGCCAAGGTTAGACACCCCTGGTCTACAGGTTTGTCTAAGCCCCATCTTCCACCGATGAGGTCTGTGTATTTCTAAGAGAGGAGAACGCGTTAGACATTTAAATCCTTCAGATAATCTAGTGCATTGCATTTAGTAACCAGGTATCTTCTAAAATCATCATATTTGACATTCTTTGTATTTCTGAGGGTTGTTTCATCCACCTTTCTTTGGCATCTGAACACAAATTCTGAACAGGGGCTCACAGTCTTTCAGTGCTGTGTATATACAACTACAGCTTCTGTTTGTTCAGATTATCCCCAAAAGGCCTTGATTTTGAAAAATCCCAAATTTGCCTCAGTTCATTTATGTCCCTGGAAGCTCCATCTTGTAAGGTCTTCCAATAATGTTTTCATCAGTTTTTCTACACGGTACTTTTTTTAAACCCTGATTTCAAAAGAAAAAAAGATAACTACTCGATGTATTCTAATATCAAATTGGAATTATAATTACCTGTATATTCTTAATCGTTTTGTAGGTGAGGATTCCATACTATGGAAAATAGGCCTACTTTTTGCAAAGCTCCAAACACATTTCACAGACTAGAAATTATTTTATAATCAAAATGTCTTGGACAAACTGTGGAAATGATAGGCAAAAAGTGCTGATTTGGGTTATTTAGAAGGCAGTTTTCTTGCAGGAAGTGATTTTATTTTAATCAGTTTATCCCTCACTTTACTTAAAAGTGGCATTTACTGACCCTGGCTTACGACTGACCAGGTGCTTCTCTGCAGCAGCTTTGTTTATAATATATAATATTTTAAAGTGTCATAAAGTGCTGATTCTGAGCCCATTCTATTCCAATTTCCCCACCTGAAACTGACTCATAAGAATTAAAATGGGAGAAAGAATTCAGAGGAACAGCAGCTTATGCCAATATATTTTAATAGAAATATGATCTAAAAATATGGTATAAAAAACTGTTTGCACTATTATTCAGATTACTCAGGATTGGGGCAATAAAATAGAAATTAACGCTGGGAAGGCTTGCTTCCCAAAAATAAAATCAAACTACCTCAACTAATAAAATTAAAAAAAAAGTTATAAATCAAATTGTTCAAGAAATACTAATGCATCATACTGACTGGCTCAGGAAGGCCCACGCCTGTCAACCAGAAACCATTTTCATACTTTCATTAAGCGAAGTGTTTGGAGAAAAAGTTAATGTCTTGCTATTCCGCTTTTTAAACCTAGATGGTATAATTTTTTTTTTCCAGAAAAGTGGAAACTTGCATTGATATTATATAGTTGCTGCTTGCTTGACCGCTGCTGTATTGGTGTTCTCTGTATGGCATAACCTTTATTTGCTCACCCTTACTTTCCTGTAGCGAGAGTTGTGCAAAGGGCAGCCACATCAACAAGGCGTCCGAGTTGGTGGCCTTTCGGTTGGGGGCCTCCTCCCCCTCCCTCCACATTGGCAGTGGGGGGGGGGGAAGAGAGAGAGAGGAATTGAAATAATTTATAGGTGTTTGCAGATAAAGTTTAACCAGCCTGGCACCACAGCAAGATGTTTTGCATCAAAGCTTTTACACAGCACAGTACCAATTTATTTCTTTATGCCCCTTAACCACACACACACACACACACACACACACACACACACACACACACACACACACACAGTATTTTAAGTAAATTCCATTGGAATCAGGTCAATTTGATGCATGGCCAAAACATTTCTTGAAATGTCTTCAGGAACTTCTTTTGCTGAAGGGGAGCTGTAGCTGAAATCTCACAGGCAAAATGGTTTACCTTTTAATGATAATGGAGCCTTTTTCTGCATCGGGTTGAATTCCCTCATAGGAGAAAGGAACTTTTGGCTGCCCCAGGAGAAGGCCACCTCAGTTTGGGAAAGCTGGGTTCCCCAGTAGATGGACCTTGCTTGCATTTTCAAGCTGCATAACCCGACTCTTGTTTTCACGGCTTTAATGTTTTTATGGACCTTAGAGAAGAAATTTCACACACATTTGGAACCACACAACCCTCCCAATTTTCTGCCTCTGGCGGGGTGGTTGGGCTGTCGTTTGACTGCTTGATTAAACACACTAGAGGCTTTCATCCCTCTTGTACAGAAGTGCCACGAACAACCTTACACCAAATGTTAATGTCACAGATTTTTAAATACAGTAGGAGGTTAATCAATAATGCAAACTCTGAGGAGTCGAGCGTTAGTGGATGAGTGGGAAACTCCTTGTGAGCTGGTGGAAAGCATAATAGCGTAATACTCAGTGTCCTCCGTCTGCTAAGAATAGTTTAAGGTAAATGTTTACAGTTACTATGCATTTGATTCCCCCTCTCCTCCTTAACGTTGAGGATTTAATCTTGAGGCCTCATAGGAATCCGTTGACTTTCAGATGACTTTCACAAGCAACCAATTTCAATGTAGGGACAACATGCACTGAATTTGCTCTGTATTTGTAAGTAAAGCTTTTAGAAATCCCTAGGCAGCGATGCAAAACTCTCTGTACTGCTCTTCAAATCCAACGAGACAGGGGGAATATATGAGTTTTCAGTATATTGAAATTAGTGGGAGAGATTTATAGCACCCTTCTTGATGAATTACGCCAATTAACAAGGGCAGTTTGCCTTGTCTGCCTCCCCTCCCCATTGTGCTCCCTCTGATATCCATAGCAAGATGCAAAGCAGTAACGTTTATGATGGGTTCCACTAATTTGCAAATTACAAAGACAGACCTTGTGTCTGGAGCGTCTGCAGAGTCTGGCCAAGATGGTGGAATCAAAGCTCCATCTGTTTTTTACCAGATGTGCCCCACACACACACAAGAAACAGATCCAGATCCAGTTTTTCATTGCACGGTCACAGCCAACATCCTGATTTTTTGGACCAGGCCTGCAGACGCCCCTTCCTCATGCAAGCAGCTGTTAGCAAAGGAGGTTTAAATATTTGTAGTTCGGGTTTTATTTGGAAGCATTCTAGTGAAATACATTGACAATACAAGTGATAAATTAAGCACCTCCATCTTTAAAGATGGGTATTTTGCAACGCAAGCGTGCATGTTTTTCATGCCCATTTTAAGCAGACTTGAACTCTAATACTGACTACCACTTTAACTTAATTTTTCTGCACTTTTTTCCTGGTTTGAGGTAGCAATAAAACAAAACAGATGGGCAATTCAGTCAGCTGTATTGTACTGTAATTATCTGCTTTCCAGTGCCTTGTTTCTGAATGGTTTGGAGTTACTTCGCATATCTTAAGCTATTCCTGAGGTGTAGAGCAAAACACTGAAAGGAGATCAAAAACTAGATTTCTTCTCCATATTTAAATTGTATGAAAGCTCTACTTGTAAGATTATAACTCAGTTTTTAGGGAAGAATTGTAAATTTAGCCCAAGGATTTAACAATATATTTTTAATTTTCAGCTTCTGTTATTAAATTGTAAAGTATTCTTATGGTGAATTGGATTGTCCACAATGTTATGAAAATGCTTTTTGACTGTATTTGACAAACATTGGCCTTTGAATTCAGTTTCCAGGTCAGTTCTTGAGGGATTGGAGGGAAAAAAGTGAAGCTGAAAATGTGATAGGAAATCTTGTCCCAAAGATCATCGTTGACAAACATTGCGAAGCTTCCACTGTGGTGTATTTAAGGGGATAGACGGGGAAGAGGTTTTGGTGGGTACTTCGTTTCGTGTCTCTTTTCTCCCTCTCCTTATAAAGGGCTGGTACCCACCTCAGTAGTTTTGTGCCGTGGCACTTTTTGAGCACTTTCTTGTAAATTCCCCTATTGTTATTGTTCAGTAAGGGGGAAAGAGAAACAATGCAAGTTCATGGTCTCTTGATATGCACAAAGTCACCTCTTGCCCATCATCCTGGAAAACGTGTTGAGGACAGTTGCTAAGTCCACTTAAAGTTCTTGTAAACTCCACTAAAGCATTGTGTGTCCCTCAACATTGCTTGTAGAATAGGCCCAGCTATTGGCGATATATTCAAGGGAATCGGAGCAGCCAAATCCTGGATTGTATAAAGCAGGGGTGGGGGTGGGGGGTGGGGTCCAAACCTGGCCACTTTAAGACCCGTGGACTTCAATTCCACAGGTATGATGGAGAACGGCCTAGGGAGGCAGCTCCCTTTAGATCAGTGGTTCTCAACCTGTGGGTCGGGACCCCACTTGGGGTCGAACGACCATTTCATGGGGGTCGCCAAACAAGGCTGTCTGCCATTTTTCCCCCTTTTCTTTGGCCATGTCCTTGGCACCTGGTGATCTATAAGTGGTTGGGGGTCACCACAACATGGGGAACTGTATTATGGGGTCACGGCATTAGAAAGATTGAGAACCACTGCTTTAGATAGTGGCTCCCTCTAAGCTGATTGCAGTCCAGATGAGCCAAATCAAAATCCCAGGAAGGAACCGGAAGCATTTGTGGAAGCGGATTTTGCTTCCCATTTTGTTGGCAAGAAAGAAAAAGTTGTGTACGGTACCAAAAGCCATGTCAGGTGCTGCTTCCAGGTGCCTTCTTTGCTTCAAGAAGTTTGAAGAACACTTGGAAAGATGGCTTATCGAAAAGAATGAATAGTCATTTGTCATCTCTTCCCAACTACACAGAGATTACGGGGCTAAACGTAGAAAGGAGATCTTCCTCAATAATTATGAGGAGGAAAAGGAGGTTTTATGAATGTGGAAGTTTGGCCTCAAGAGCACTTAAATAACAATCATTGAACCAGCTTTAACCAACCTTATAAGCAGCTACAGAACATCAGTTAACCTTTTTCTATTCCGTGGAGTTTGTGGGAATTTAAAATGAGGATTGAGGTTATCCCGTTGGGTTGGACTTCAGCTTGCCCAGGCACACGGGACTCCAGGGCCAGTCAGACGAGGTCACGGAGTTCAGGATGTCATTGCACAAATGCTGCAAATTTCATCATTTACATCAGTTGCGGTGATGCAACATTTGCAAAATAATATATTATGCAGTGTTGTGACGGCTTTTGCCTGGAGCTTGTGTGCAAAGGCTTCTTGGCTGTGCCTACTGGGAGTTGAAGTCCCTCCAATCTAGAGAGAAGTGTTTTAAGGCTCTAGGCCAGGGGTGTCAAACTCGCAACGTCACGTGACGTGTCATGACGTATTGTGACTTTTGTGCCATTGCCGGCAATGGGGTGGCCGTGGTTTCGCTATGATGCATCCGGCCAGCGGGCCAACAGTTTGACACCCCTGTTCTAGGGAAAGAGACTTGGGAGAACTGTAAGGAATTATTTTCAGCTGCAGTAAACAGTGCACAGTAAAAGCTGAACAATAAGCCAAGAGAAAAAAAAAAGCTTGATTTTGAAAAACTTTTCCTAGCTTTCCTGTGAGGGTGATTTGCAGGTTCAAAATTTGTGCATAGCACATGTTTATTAATATTGTCCTTAATAAGGAAGACACTTGATACGGATAAAAAATATTTCACATGCTTTTTTTAGATGTCAGATTTGATTTTAAAATGCATTAGGTGTTCTATCCATAATGAGAAGCCTGTCACTGCAAAATTTTACAGTGCTTAGAGTTTAAGTCATTCTGATCCAGACCTCTGGATCCTCACTTAATGTTGGGGGGACCTGCACCTTGGAGACAGGCGGGTCAGAAGCGGTGCTGGCAGGAGATTATTTAAAGAAGAGGCAGGCTTTGTCATCTGCTTAACCGGGCAGAAACGCAGATCAACTAACGGTACCCATGTCTCATGTTCAGGAGGCAATGGTGAATTATTCTAGCAAAAACTGGGATTTATAGAAAAGCAACACTGGACTTTCTCATGCATTTTAGAATATAAAACCATTTAGTGTTTCTCAGACCTTGAATTCAACCTTCTAATTTCCCTATTCAAAGAATAGATGCTTGTCTAATAAAATAGGTATTTAATGAGTCTGCTGGGAATCTTGGTCAACATCTGTGTGTACAGTACTTTAAAATTTTCTGTAAGACTGATGAATGTATGTAAAGAGCAATTTCACTGTGTGATTTTTTTTTTCCCCCTTGCCTTAATGGTCTCAAATAAAGTATTTCTTTAAAAAAAAATGGCCTGAGTTTTAATGACCCAGAGGAAATCCTTAACTGGAGACAGAATTGGTAAAACATGTCATTGTCTGCCCATGGACCACAGTCTGGCACTAAAATATTACTTACAGCAAGGTGGTCATGGTTAAAAAACAAACATTTCTCTGCATTCTAGTTGTACTTTCACCTGTGTGGCAGTGTGAATTGATTTATTAATTCCTAAAAGAAGGTGGGAGCAAGGATGTTTGTGGCTGGGGTGTGTCAATCAGAATAAAGCCGGAAGGGACCTTGGAGGTCTTGTAGTCCAACCCCCTGCTCAAGCAGGAGATCCTAGACCACAGGTGTAAAACTCATCACGTGACGTGTCGTGACGTATCGCAACTCTTTGCATTGCCGGCAATGGGACGGGCCAGGCTTCAGTATGATGAAACCAGCCTGCAGACCGGCAGTTTGACACCCCTGCCCCAGACCAGGGATAGGCCACCTTGGCTCTTTTTATGACTCGTGGACTTCAGCTCCCAGAATTCCTGAGCCAGCCATGCTGAGGGGAAAGGGAGAGGTTGCCATGCTGAGCCAGGCTGGCTCAGGAATTCTGGGAGTTGAAGTCCACCAGTCCTAAAAGAGCCAAGGTGGCCTATCCCTGCCCTAGACCATTTCTCTTCCTAAAAACCTCCAGTGGTGAAGCACCCACCACCTCTGAAGGCCAACTCTTCCACTGGTTGGTTGTCCTCAAGGTGGCAGCTGTGACCACACGCTCAAAACTCACAAAGGCAAAAGACGGGTCTGTTCTTGGCCTTGAATATGGAAATAGTTTTGTGATTATCTTGGGACAGTGTCCGTTCCTGCTTAGTTTTAAAAAGATCAGCCAAGACCAACAAACATGCTGCTATGTCGCCAGATGAAAAGGAAAATCCTCAATGCTGATTTCAATGAAGGGTAATTTTAAAGAAAGCCACATAAGCATGCCGTCTCATTTCAGAATCGTCGTAAAAATTAACCGAATGCTAAAGCGAGGCCCCCCCCCCATGGGAACGTGGCTGTGGTGCTGAAAAGCACAAGGTTTATCCGACACCTCCGGCAGCGTCCTTGGGAGAGACTTTTAGCTTTGCAACCGATGACGTGGATCTCTAGCATGTCCTCCATCAACCTTTTTGTCTTGGGAAGAAAGTGGGAAATAGTCCTGGCCAAAGCTTGCAAAAATTTGGGAAGACTGAGTGGACACCCTATTAATTCCACTGTAGATCTATCACAGGACTTTTCAACCTTTTCACCCATTGTACCACCTGTCGCGTACCACCTGCCAGGTGCCAATGTACCACAGGTGGTACCCGTACCACTGGTTGAAAAGCCCTGATCTATCATTTCCACGTGGCCAGGCCCGAGTTTTTACCACCAGCCCAACTGAACAAGTAACGCCATGGAGAAGTATTTGCTCTTTGCCTCTCCCTGTGCATTAAACATCTGCTAGCAGTGATTTGGAAGCAGGTTCCATTTATTGCCTTCCTATTTTAAGCCGATGGACCGTCTGGCCACGCTGTGCAGATCAGAAAGATGCTGCAGGAACCCTACATTGTCCAGAAGCCTCAGGTCAGCTGAAAAAGAATAGTTCTCAACTTCTCTGCAGTGTAACTCTCGTCTTTGATGCTAAGGGTGGGTGGTCTGGGGCTAGTTTCTTTGGCTTGCAGTGCCCCCCTTCAGTTCCCAACCTTGGGTGGTGCTTGTGCGTCTCCCACTGCGTTTCCTCCAAAGAAGACAGTTAATCAGAGATCGTGTTACCAACCAACGCAATGAAATTTTCAAACCTCCTGCCCTAAGTCCTGGGAGCCAGCTGGAGGCAGTAGAGCAGTGGTTCTCCACCTGTGGGTGGGGACCCCATTTGGGGTCGAACGACCATTTCACGGGGGTCGCCAAACAACGCAGTCCACCATTTCCCCCCCCTTTTCCTTAGCTGTGCTACTCCCTTTTATTCTATTGGCTTTTGAAAGCCAATAGAAGAGACTCTCTTGAATAGAGTCTAATTCTATTGGCTTTCCAAAGCCAACAGGAATTGTCCAGGCTGTCTCTGCCCTGCTGAGCCCGCCAAAAGTCCTGTTCTGCAAACGGTGCTGCACCAGCTGAGTAGTCCTCGACTTACGACCGGTTGAGTAGTCCTTGACTTACGACCGGTTGGGGGTCGCGGCATTAAAAAGGTTGAGAACCACTGCAGTAGCGCCAAAGCCCGGTGAAAGGGCTCCCCTACAAACTCAGCACAGGCAGGTTTGGATCAGTCTACGTACTACAGCAGAAGATTCCCTGGCTGAAAGCGAGACTAGGAAGCTGAAAAAAACATCCCCAAAGAAAACCGCAGGGATGTGACTCGTGGCTTCAGGCATCAAGGGCAACTGAAGAATGAGTTTACTTTTTTTATTTCAGACGCCCCAGAGTGAGCTTGATAATAAGGTAACAAGGAAGCATCAGAAGATGATCCCTCTATCTATCGGCACTGAACTTTAACTACACTGCTGTAGCCGCCATCTTTATTTTTTCTTTGACCATATCCTGCCAATATGGATCAAATCCAGACGCAAAGGCAGAATGGAAGTTGGAAACAGACCCTCACAGAAGGTAGTAGAGCTGTGGAACCTGGTGTATATTTAAAAGAGAAATATAAACCAAAAGTGGAACTCTTTATCTCCTGTGTCTCAGTGCTTCTAAAGAGGGATATCAGGTTCCACTTGTTTATTTCAGACCTTTTCAAAGCCCGCTCTCCTGGTTAGCAATGGTTGTCTGCCAGATGGCTTACAAGACAGCGGCTTAAATTTTGCAACAAATTCAAAACAATACCATCTCCTGCTAGAGACACCATTCTTATTCTAATTACCAAAAGTACATTCTGCAGTAAAACCAGCCTAGCTTTTCCCCGGATTCTTGGAATCTCCTTTTTTGGAAGATTTCGAGTGTGCTTTCTTTTTCAAATCTTCTTCTATTTCCAAAGGAAATTCACTTATGTGAGCGCTCACGCAGGGGAGGCAAAACCTTTTGGAATAGAAAAGGCTGCAGTCCTGAAAAGAAACAGAAAGAGGGAAATCAACCCACGAAGGGATAGCCAGCTTTCCTTCCAACAGAGGATTCTGTGGCCTTGGCCCTCCTTGCTTTGAGGAGGCTTCGTGGAGAACTGTGAGCGGTACAACTTTGGGCAAGTTATAACCACATCTAGAATTGTCGGTTGGCGCCCACATTTTCTAACAACCGCTCTCTCCTTCTAGAGCAGGGGTGGGCAACCTTGGCTCTTTCATGGACTTCAACTCCCAGAATTCTGGAGTCAGCAAGGCTGGTTCAGGAATTCTGGGAGTTGAAGTCCACGAGTCATAAAAGAGCCAACGTTGCCTACCCCTGGTCTAGAGAAACCAGACTGGGGTGAACCACTCAACTGCGGTCTTCCTCTTCATCCAATGCAATTGGGATCCAACCCAGTTGGGAATGGCAGAAATGGCCTAACAGCTGGATGGGGAATTCTGGGAGTTGACGTCCTCCCACCTTAAGGCTGTCAAATTTGGAAAACAACTGGCCTAAAGTGTGGAGAAGACGCCAGTCCTCCAGAGCGACTTCAAGCTTTTCTGGAATCATCTTCAGGTGGCTTAATCTGAATCCTTCAGAGCAGCAGGAATTGGTCCCCGTCTCTCTTTGGGAGATCAACAGAAAACTGCCCAGGAAGCCCCCCCCCCTCCCTCCCTCCCTCCCCCATCCTCCCTTTCAGCCCAGGGTCTGGCTTGCAAAAATCCGGACGGATGCTCCAAGAGGGAGCTGCAAAGCTATCCCAGCTCTGTCAGGAATAATTACAATATACAGAGCTGGAAGGGTCCTTGGAGGTCTTCTAGTCCAACCCCATCCTCAATCAGGAGACCCTATGCAGGTAATCCTCAACTTACAGCCATTCATTCAGGGGCCGTTCGGAGTTAGAGCAGCACTGAAATAAGTGCCTTATGACCATTTTTCCCACTGGGGTCACGTGATCCCCTTTTGCGACCTTCTAACCAGCAAAGCCCCATAGGCAAGCCAGATTCACTTAACCACCTTTCTAACTTAACAACTGCAGTGATTCACTTAGCGACTGCTGCAAAAAAGGTTGTAAAATCGGGTCAGTCGTATGATGACCCACTTTACAACCACCGTGACTTAAAGACCATACTGGGCAGGCTCCATTGTGGGCGTAAGTCAAGGACTGCCTGGACAATCTCCCTAACTAGCCTTACTGTTATTATTATTCTGTTGCCCTAGAGCAGTGTTTCCCAAACTTGACAATTTTAAGGCATGTGGACTTCAACTCCCAGAATTCCACAGCCAGCGTTGCTGGCTGTGGAATTCTGGGAGTTGAAGTCCACATGCCTTAAAATTGTCAAGTTTGGGAAACACTGCCCTAGAGGCCCAGAGAACATAGCTTCTGTCCCAGATGCAAGCCACGGCTAGTTGTCATGACATTTCCCTGAATAAATTCAGTTTCCTCATTTTCAGAAAGGGAGATGAGGAAAGAAATGGCTCATCAATCATGCTTCTGACCACATCCTGGCCCAGAATATGTGGGTGAATGGAAGCCGGGATGGAAAATGTTTGCACAACTTGGGAAAAACACTCCTTTCTTACAGGCCTCACAGCAGGCCATAGTTTCTGGCTGTTTCCAATCACATCTGATGCAATCTGTTTGTACTCGAGCAACTCCTGGCAGCTCTTCTCGGCAAGCGACACAGAAGCAGGACTCGGCATGAAGAGGCACATCCTCGGAGCATCTGGACCTTCCCTCCAGTGGTTTGCACAGAAACAATGATCAGAAGTCTGTTTTGGGACGCCAATGAAGCTGTCCTCCGTGCCCACAAGCAGAGGCCAGCTCGGCTCCTGCTCTGCTGGGCCCTGGTGGGAATAAAAATTCTCCCTCGTCCTTAGTTCTTTGGGAGAAATTAACAGAGTAGAAGATCAAAGAATTCCTCACGCCTTCACAATCTGCCACTTTCCAGAACTCAGGACGAGCAAAAAGTACTTTAAACTCCATATCTATCCACCTACCTACCTACCTACCTACCTATCCACCCATCTATCCATCCATGTTCTCCAAGGCCTGAACACCTGCAGCATGGAGAGTCCACCCTGTTCCATCAGAATGGAACGAAATGAAGCGATAAAGGATTTAATTCCACCTACTCTGGTTTTTTCTCTCTCTTCCTTTTAGTGTCTTCTGAAGAAAGTTGCCCTGGTATCCACAAAACTGGAGACCAGGCCAAAATAGGGTTTGGGGGAGGGGGGGTGAGGGGGGGACTGAGGGGCACAGGAACTCGTCTCCTGCACCCGGCCAGCCGAAGGAGTTGAGGCAAACCTTGCACGGTGACTGGCTGGGACGGAGGGTGTGTGTGTGTGGATGGGTGTAATCATTTCGTTACGCTCCAGAGCCAGACATTTCATTCTGTATATTCACAGTGTTAACATTCACTTCTATAATAAGCTTGGCTGTTCCTCAGTTCTTCACTAGCACTTCACCAGGAGTTTATTCATTTCAACCAAGGTTTCTCTAATTGGGTAGCTTTAGGATGTATGGACTTCAACCCCCCGAATTCTTACAATTGCCACGTTTGAAAAGTACTGGTTTAAGGACAGAGGTCGCTGCAATTGAAGGTATGGATGTGATGGGAGACTCACACAGTGGCCCACACGGCCTGTTGCTCTAAACTTGCCATCAGGGACCACTATTAAAAAAGCCTCAATGTCTGCACTGCCAAAAATCTTTGGCCAATCTGGGGACACCAAATAATTCTAGGGGGCCCGCACAAATTCCACTGGTCCAAAGTAAGCTGCAACAACCCACACGGCCACTAGGGGGTAGCAGAGCAATTTTTCTGGATCTCTTTTTCCAGCTTTTCTATGCAGGCAATCCCTGAGTTCTCAAGGACCACAAGGGAGCCCAAAATTTATGTTGTTAAGTGAGACATTTAAGTGAGTTTTGTAAGTAGAGGACCACCTAGTTAATATGCAGCTTTGCAGCCTTTTCCAACAGTCCAAGAACAATTACAGGCAGTCCTCAACTTATACCAACTGAATTTCCGTCGCTAAGCACGGTGGTATCCCCACATCACACAATTTTATGACCGTTTTGCCACAGTTGCTAAGTGAATCATTGCAATTAAGTGAACCATGTGGTCGTTAAGCAAATCAGCTTCGCCCACTTAATTTTGTCTGAAATGGTATAGGGTCTCCTGCCTGAGCAGGGGGTTGGACTGGATGACCTCCAAGGTACCTTCCAACTTTATTATTTAGAATAGAGTAGAGTAGAGTAGAGTAGAGTAGAGTAGAGTAGAGTAGAGTAGAGTAGAGTAGAGTAGAATCTGGAAGGGACCTTGGAGGTCTTCTAGTCCAGCCCCTACTCAAGCAGGAGAACCTACACAGTCTCAGACAGGTGAATGTGTGGTCCCTTCTTCAAAGGTCTCCCTTGACGGTGGCCCAGGGCCCAAACTTAGATCCTGTGACCGTGTGCAACTGCCATAAGGGTGAGGACTGGTCCTAGGCCCCTCTTTCCAGTCCCAGGGTAACTTCAAACAGCCACTGAGTGAATAGCTGTAAATCAAGACTCCCAGCAAGGAAGCAGGGCAGCCAAAAGTTATTTTGACCCTGATGACAATTGTCTGCTCGTTTAAAAATAACCGAGGCCCTGAGTTGCTACTACGGAGTGACGCTTCGGGAATTCAGAGAGGCTGGCTATCTGTCTCGGTCCCGCCGCTGGTAGGTCACCGAGGAAGGCGACCGAAGTGCAGCCGGATCACATGATACTTACTGGGCCAGCACACACCCGTTTGTGACACAGACTACACTGCGCTCCAAGGATAAGGAATGTGTCCTTGTCTGGGGTGAACGGGTCATTCATCATCACATAGCAGTCCTCCAGCAGGCTGCAAACGAACAACAACAACAATTGCAACTGAACCACCCAGAGGCTTCGGCCAGCTGCCTCTCTCAGCTCCGAGATCAGCAGCTTCCTCTCTTCATAAGAAGAGGAGGCGGCTGACGTGCCCAGAAACTCCTCATTGCTCCTCCTTCTTTGGCAATGCCTTTGTTCTCTGGACACAAAAGGTCCTTGCTTTCCTGGTGTACAGAGCAGTGTTTCTCAACCTTGGCAACTTGTAGAGGTGTGGATTTCAACTCCCAGAATTCCCCAGCCAGCATAGCTGGCTGGGGAATTCTGGGAGTTGAAATCCACACCCCTTCAAGCTAGTCTATAAAGAGGCGTTCTTTGCAGAAACTTGGAAAGACATTCCCAAGTCACGCTTTGAACCTGGGGTGACCACAACCCCTCCCTGCCACGCCGTAAGGCCACGTCACCCACTTCAAGCTGCCCCCCCCCAATTTGTAAACAAGAGAAGAAGGTCTAAGAATCGGCGCAAGTGAACCTTTGTATCAGTGGCAGCAAGACCTCTGTAGGAAAGGGGGTCAAAAAAGTCAAGATGGCAGCCCTGATTGTGTGATTGAAGCCCCGGGGCCATTGTGCCCCTTTTTTTGACACACACCTCCTTTGCTTCATTGCCACCTCACCAGCCCCACCCTTTTTGGACAAGTGTGCAATGCAGCAATGAACATGCAAAAAGGGAGGGGGGCTTGCACTGCAACAGCACAATGTTGACCATCGTATTTCACCCTTCCTGTGCAAAGGGTGCCTGGCAATCAGCTCCACAAAACGGGCCCTGAGTATGAGAAAAGCTGGGCAGAGCTATCTACTTACGTGACTGAGTAGGCGTTGGGAGGCTTATGCCCATAGTAGCTGTAGGGGGCTGTTAATCCACACAGCTGACATTCAAAGGTGTCCTTTTTTGGTTCCATCCGGGTACTATTATGGGGAGGGGGAAAACAGAAATGTTTATGTCTAAAGCAGTGGTTCTCAACCTGTGGATCGGGACCCCATTTGGGGTCAAACGACCATTTCACGGGGGTCGCCAAACAACGCAGTCCGCCATTTTCCCCCCCTTTTCCTTAGCTGTGCTACTCCCTTTTATTCTATTGGCTTTTGCAAGCCAATAGAAGAGACTCTCTTGAATAGAGTCTAATTCTATTGGCTTTCAAAAACCAATAGGAATTGTCCAGGCTGTCTCTGCCCTGCTGAGCCCGCCAAAAGTCCCATTCTGCAAACGGTGCTGCACCTGTTGAGTAGTCCTCGACTTACGACCGGTTGGGGGGGTCGCGGCATTAAAAAGGTTGAGAACCACTGGTCTAAAGCAAGGCCTTTTTATCTTTTTTGTGCTAGGTAAGCCTCTCAAAACGTTCTCAGAAAAACCCACTTAAATAAACTACTTGATCACGTTACAGATTATGCTCAAGTACAGTTAACAAAACATAGAAAGAATGTAATATAGTAATGTAAGTGCTTCTTTATGTATGCATCAAATCAATAATAAGACAATACTCTTTTTAAGGGAATAATAATAGGGAGATATATAGGTTTTTTACTTTGCTGACTGTCTAGTATCAAAGGGAAAGTTACATTTCAATTAGAGGCTAGTGAAACTAAACTTTCATTTTTCCCCTCTGAAATCCATCCACCCCACATTAGCAGCGCTTCTGTAAAGCAGCATTTCTCCACCTTGCCAACTTTAAGATGGGTGGACTTCCATTTCCAGAATCCCCCACCCGGTCCTAAAGTTGCTGCAGCATCACAGATGGTAGAAGGGGCAGAAGAGCTGAGCTCCAGGGATTCAGGCAAGAATATCCAAATATTCCATCCATGGTTCATCCCGGGATGTGTACCACACTTTCTTTGTATGGCAAAATGCAGCAACTGCCAAGCACATCTGAATGGGTGCCCTGATAGAAACATGGGCTGGTACAGAACAGAATTAGGGGTTGAGCTGAAGATGGCACAAGGTTCATCTCGGACTCACCAGCCTCGGCCAGAACCACCTACTGCAGGGGTCTTCAAACCTGGCCTTTTTATGACTTGTGGACTTCAACTCCCAGAATTGCTCAGCCAGGCACACGTGCCTGGCTGAGGAATTCTGGGAGTTGAAGTCCACAAGTCATAAAAGGGCCAGGTTTGAAGACCCCTGACCTACTTACTTGGGCTGATCTCAAAAAGGTCTGGGCTCAGCATCTGTAGATGAACAGGTAGAGTTGGGGGGCGCCATTAAGCTTGTCATCATTTTTGTTGAGAGTCATTACATTCCCACAAAGTCCAGTCCCTCTTGAATTCCACTGACCCTTATCTGGTGCCAACTTAGTATTGAACTTTAATTGACTAATGTCAGATGCAAAGGATCAGGACCCTGTGTTAGATTGCAGCTCAAAAAGGATCTATTGCTCAAAGCTATACTCAAGAATCCAGTTGACTAAAGTTCAGTACTAAACTGGAGCCGGATAATGGTCAATGGAATTCAAGAGCAGTGAGACTGGGACTTTTGTGGCAATGTAATGATGTTAAGCTGATGATGTGCTTAACGCCGCCCCCAGCTCTGCCTGTTCCTCTCTACAGCATCTTGGATGGAAGATATGAAGACATCTTAGGACTATGAAGACAGACAAGCCACTTCTGCGGGCTGTCTAAAAAAACACCCGACACCGTATCTTTGTAGAAGAGCCTGGATAACGACATAACAAGCCAGGTTTGTGGTTCAAAAGCAAACACAATGGTAATTACAGGAGAAAGGGGGAGAAAATGTCTAGGGCAGCGTTTCTCAACCTTGGCAAGCTGAAGATGTGTGGACTTCATAGCTGGCTAGGGGATTCTGGGACTTGAAGTCCACACATCTTTCAAGCAGCCATGGTTGAGAAATACCGATCTAGAGATTAAGAGGCACAACATACCTTATTTGTTTAATTATACTCATCTAATCTTAGCTCCGGCAGAGCAGAGCCTTGAGGCATTTCTTATATCCTTTTATTAATTCTTAAACCTGAAAGGTAGATGAGCTAAGATTTTATTAAGGCGGACATGTAATGACTTGACTTTGGCTTCAGGTAAATGGATAACATATATTATGAGGTTTGAATTATGGATTTTTTTTGGAACTCCTCTGCAGTGTTACATTTCTCTCACCGATAAAGCTGGTACAAGTATCTTGTTTGCAGGTTCTGTATTCCAATGCCATGGAAAGCCCTCCCAACTACGTGTCAGAACAAGATGTGCGCACGATGGCTAACCTGTGCAATCCCCTGGGGTATCTCAGCAGACTTTCCACAAGTAGCTAACCACGTTTGGTATGGAGGCTAATGAGCTTTTACAGAGGAGGCAGGTCACTGCTGAATTCATCTAGCCAAGCCAGGCGCCCCTGAAGATCATCTGAAGGTAACCTGACAACCAATTTGGTCTGTGTTGGAGAAACGTAAGTCCATGTTTTTCTGGGCATGGAATGCTGCTGTTTCACACATCAGATTTACAAGCATTCTTCACCCGTCAGATGTGGGGGGGAGGGAACCAATATACATCTAGAGGACAAAGCTGGTTTGGTCTAGTAATTAAGCTACTGGACTGGAAACCAGGAGACCCTGAGTTATAGTCCTCCCGAGTCACAAAAGCCAGTTGAATGACTTCAGGTCACCCAACCCATCTCTCAGGCTGCTGACGTGGGAACCACAGGAGGAGAGAGGATTATGCACGAAGTAAAGAAATAATAACAATGCCAAACTCGTGGAAAATGAAATGCCTTTGAATAGCCCTGGGTCTGAGAGGCTCACCAGATCCAAACAAGCCATGTTTAGCTCGAAGCAGAGTTTCTCAAGCTTGGTAACTTTAAGCTGTGTGGACTTCAACTCCCACAAACATTGGCTAGGGAATTCTGGGAGTTAAAGCCTGTGAATGCTGGCTGGGAATTCTGGGAGTTGAAGTCCATACATTGGTTTAAAGCAGAGGGCCCCAACCTTTTAGGCACCAGGGACCGTTTCCATGGAGAGAGGTTTTTCCGTGGACCGGAGGGTGCGTGGTTTTGTGTGTGCTGCCTGCATTTCGTGGATGGGGCTTTGTTTGTGTGGACCGGTACTGGTCCACAGACCGGGGTTGGGGACCCGTGGTTTAAAGAACCACAGAAATAAAATTAGTCAGGGAGGGGGTCTTCTCCAACAGCACAGTTCCTCTCCTGAGTAAATTATTTCTGTGGTTCTTCAAGAGCTTAAGAAATTAAGCTATGATTAAGGGCAGGCAAGCCTCAACAGACAATACAGTCTCTGTCAGAGAGGATTTCCATTTGCCAAACCTTTTATTTAATCTTCCTAAATTATACTCCTACCAGCATGTATAGGATTTTCCTCCGCAGGGTATTCTTTCACAGTTATTAAGGGCAACTAATGGAAATATTAATACCAGTATTTTCTGGATCAGAAGGGTGCAATCTGCTTGTGCCAGGAGCAAGCTTCCCCTCCACAGAAGCTCAGTTCAGACATTCCACAAATCTGAGTTATGTGGGTGATCAAAGCAGGAAATGGGCAGGTAAGAGGAACCCATCTCCAGCAGAGGTAGAGGGTCAGTCATCAATAACTGAGTTTAAGCAGGCTTGGGATAAACACAAAGGGTAGACTTGACGCACCGCTAACTTTTTTTCTGCCATCAGTTTTCTGTTTCTATGTTCTTTCTATGTTTATGGATCAGTCGTGCATTGTCCAGAGATAACGTCACCACACAAAAATCAATTATCTAGACAGTTGTGGTTTATCCTTTGCACTCGTGCAGGATCAAACCGTGAATTTAAACTTCAACACAAACAATGGGATCTTATTGTGCCTAAATGAGGCCCAAGTTCCAGAGATGCCTGGCAGAATTTGGCCACAAATTAAAGGTAAAATCACTTTGGAGTGGACATACATATTTCTCAGGACAATATTCATGCAGCCACCAAGACTCCATAGACATGTGCAAGACATCAAAAAAAATAAATCAAGAACGAAGAAGCAGCACAACCATTCGGAATACAAATGGATGGATGGCCGAAAAGATGATTGGCAGTTCCTTCCCTCCCATCCATGACATAGCACAGAAGCTTTGCTTGAGCAGGGTCCATAAGATTATCTGGGACACGACACACCCTCTCCACCACCTGTTTTCTTTGTTACCTTCTGGGGGGGGGGAGCTTCGTGGTATCCGAAGCAGAACATCCAGATTCAGCCATAGTTTCATTCCATACAGCATTAACCTTGTGAACTCTCAAGCTTCCTCCTTCTGTTATATTTTCAAGAAGGACAGTGTTTAATATTTGTTATGTATACATTGGGGTGTGGGTCTACACATATGTTGTATATAGTATGTTTAGGTGTATGTCATGTATGTGTTTCACTTTGAGAGCGGGCAACTAAATTTCATTTTTGATGTGTGCCGTTGTGCCCACAGTAAAAAAATGACAATAAAGGTTATCTTATCTTATCAAAGAGTAGGGGGTGGGTGAAGAGGAGGTACTCAAAAGTGGGGGAAGGGGGGGTTATGGAAGCCAGCAAGTTAACTGCTATCTCTAAACACCCTGGACTTGCAATGCACATAAAAACCAGATTAAACTCCCATCCCACCACTGTGCCCTCTTTCTGGACCGTACATGGTAGGCACCCTGCATCCTAGAAAATGGAATGAGAAGAGGCCAAACATTTGTGCAGGAGTGTTGGCAATAAGTCAGCTCTCCCTGGCCATACCCTGGAGCTAGCCAGAGGTTGTCAGACACTCCCGTCTCACTACAGGTAATCCTCGTTTAGTTACGATAGTGATGAAAAAGTAATTTTGCAACCAGTCATCACATTTACGACCTTTGCAGGTCTGTAAATCAAAGGAAAGCTGAAATGAGATTATAAGCACGGTGGCCATTTCACTTAGCAACCTCTTCGCTTAACAACCAAGTTGGCGGCCTCACTTGCAGTTGCTGAAGGTTATCAATGGCGGAGAAATATTCTTGCTCACCTGGGGTGCTGCTGCCATCTAGAGGACAAACTCAGAAGTGTTTGTGTGTGTGTCTCAGGCAAGAGGACATCCGCAAAGGAAGAACCAGGCTAGAAATGCTGGACCTCCAGTGCAAAGGTTGCAGGTTTCTAGAGGCTGTGCAAATAGTTTACACAGACTACTCCCTTGAGATCAGGCTGGCCCCCTCTCTGGAGACTTTGACAAAGCTATTAAAAAGGGAGCTTTACCCAAAACATCCCCTATACCTCTTCTGCTTCCTCTGGTTCTTTCGCCTCCTACTTTGTTCGGGTATTGCAGTGGGGACTTATTGTCTTAATTCTGTTATTGCTTTTAGCACAGCGGTGAAACAACCTGTGAGTAATTGTCAAATCAATAAGTAAATGAAGCTAAAATGCTGATGCAGAGGACCCCCCAAGGTCCCTTCCGACTCTGCCATCCTGTTGTTCTCCTCTGGTCTTGGGTGGGAAGGGCAGCCGGGGGTGGTTTCTGACCCCTAAGATCAGGGGGTCTTCCAACTTGGCCCTTGGATGACTTGTGGACTTCAACTCCCAGAATTCCTCAGCCAGCTTTGCTGGCTGAGGAATTCTGGGAGTTGAAGTCCACAAGTCATCCAAGGGCCAAGTTGGAAGACCCCTGCCTAAGACAGTCCGAAGAGGGAGAAAGAGCCCGAGGACAGCCCCCACGGCTTGGGGGGGGTCCTTCGGGGGAGGCGGGAGGGGCTTGGGGTGCTCCGTCTGCGGGAGGCAGAGCCGGGGCCCCCGGGAAGGAGCCGGCTTCAACGCAGCAGCCCTTTGCCAAACCACCGCGCTTCTTCGTGCAGTGTGCAATTGCAGCCCCCCCCCCGACTACAGACCCCCCCAAAGAGGGCAACGTCGCTTCCCTCCTTTCGAAGCTGCGCCTTCCTCCTCGGGAGTAAATCCCACCCAGGATAAGGCAGCCGCTGCTCCGCCTTGCTGGGCGCCGGCCCAGAGCCAGGCTGCCCGGCTTCTCCTTAAAGGGGGGCCGCCGCGCCGCCTTCACGGGAACGTACCTGGCCGCTTAAGTTCACACGTGAAACGGGCTCCGGGGAGGGGGGGCTCTCGAGCAGCAGCTTCTTCCTGCTTCCTGGCCACGCCCACGGCGACGACGTCGCACGTTCAGCTGCGTTGCCCCGCCCTCCTTAAAGGGGCCGTAGGACGCCTCGGGAGCCCTGCGACCTCGAGCGGTGCTTGGAGGTGCTGGGGGGGGTGTTCAGTTGCGCGACACACACACACACACACACACACACACACACACACACACACACACACACACACACACACACACACACACACACACACACACACACACACACACAGAGACAGACAGACAGACAGACAGACAGACAGACACAGATGATGACGCCCAATTAAACGGACTTGCCGCAAGGAAATCCCGTGCAAACCAATGTCGGTTTCTCCATCCGTTCAGGGGACGAGGCAAGACTCCCGTAGCTGCCTCCCCACTCCAGCCCAGGGCCGCTAGTCCGCCCGACGAGAGCCCCAAGGGAGCAGCGGAACCGGGCTGACCATGGGGCGGTTTCCTCGGATGGGAGACCACCAGGTAATCCCAGGGTGGCAGGGCGGGAGCCCTGGAAACTTGGAAAAGACTCAGTGAGGTGGACTGGGGCAAGCTACGCCCCCTGTGCTGGCAAGAAGATTTGCAGAGGTGGGTCAGAGTGTGAGGACAAGCCCGCCTGCCAAGGCAGCCTCGCTCTCTCTCGGAGTGGAAGCCGGGTCGCCCAGGGTGGCAGAAATCAGCAGTGCCCCCGTGGTGCCTTTCCCCATTCAGACATTTTATGAAAAGGCAGCCTTGGCGAAAGTGTCCTGGTCTTCTTCACGTGCTGTGTGGTCCTCCACTTGCACCCACAACTGAGCCCATTATTTCTGTCGCCAAGGGGTGCTGCGACGGTCATTAGTGTGAAAAACAGCCCTGTCAGTTTTTTCAGTGTTGTGGTAACTTCAAATGGTCACTAAAGGAAAGGTCGTAAGTTGAGGACTCCCTGTACACACTTGTGCACACGCACACTTTATTTATTATTATTTATTTGTTATCCACCCTGTGGACACCCCTAATGGATCCCAACCGATATATTGTGCAATTTCTATTGTTAAGGCAGAACGTGGAATAACAGTTTTGAAAATGTTACAAATAAAAACAGAACAATAAAAAGACTTAAAATGTTATTTAATCTTGAAGGTGATCGTTCTTTTTCAATAAGGTGCTCTAATGTTTATGAAATTCCCTCTGAAACATTTAGTTGCATAAAAGTCTTGGTCCTGATCATTTTTGTTTCTCCATATCCAGGATGACAAAGGCAGGCAGGCAGGCAGGCATGAAAATGGAAGAAATCAGACTGACGTATATTCATTTTTCATCCCGATTGGCTTGCCAGTAATGAAGAAAAATTATTCTAGAAAATTGTGCTGTGAATAAACAAAGATAATCTAGACTGGAAACAGGATTTTAGAAATTCAAGTCATAATTTGAGCAACTCATTCTTCCTCATTCCTTTTCCCTTTTTTGGTCCTTTTTATAACCAGGACTCAGATGACCAGATACACCATTTTCCGCCCATTTATTTTCCGGGCTTTGAGTCCAAGGTGATGCGTGGTTTTGCGCTCAGGAAGCCCAAAAAGAACCCGATTAAAAAGCTCTGTGTCTGTGGTCGATACAGGCCTAAAGGTGACGAAAGCCCATATCCGGCGGATTTTATGGAAGAGAAAATTGACCACTTCGGCTTCGTCAGAAGGCTCTTCGTAAACCGGCTGCTTCATGTCCTCGTAGGCCGACATGATCACTGCTTGGAATAAGTTGATCAAGACGCAGATCATCACCATCATGAAGGTGGCCAGGAAGAGTCCGCCCAGGGCACGGTTGGATGTGAAAGCTGTGTCCTTGAAGGCCGAGACACAGTAGGAGAAGACAGTCTGGGCCGAGTGGCTCATCTTGTTGTAGTTCCACTCGTACTGGCCAAAGACAAGGTAGCCAAAGGCCATGTAGACAAAGAAGTAGACTGCCACTACTAAAGCCATGGAGCAGATCCCTGGCAGGGCGGCCAGAATGGACCTCTGGGCCAGGCGCACGTCGTAAAAGAAACGGGAGTATCTGAGAGTTTTTAGGACAATCAGGAAGGCCAAAAACCCTAGAGTGACCCGCAAGGTTTTATCAACAAAAGAAACTTTATGGAAGGGGATGAATTCGTTCGGCTGACGGAGATAGAGATCGATAAGGCTCGAAGCCAGCTTAAACTTGAAGGCGAGTTGCAGAAGGAAAAAACAGCACACGGCCTTTATGCCAAAGTTAATTAAATTGGATACGTTTTTTAGGTAGTTGAGTCTCTGTTGCTCCACCACGCAAAACTCGTCAATGATGTAAAAGGCCAGCATGTAGCCCACCAAGATGAAAACAAACTTCTCCCTTTGTTCCAGCTGCTTGAAAATGGGGAGTTTATAGGAGTGGATCCACAAAGTTGTGTTAATGGGGCCTAAATGAGAAAGTTCGAAGATCACAGATATGCTGCAAAATAAGTCCATGTCAGGATTAAAAGTTGTCATCTCGACTATTAGCACCCAAGAATTTTCATCAAGCCAGTTGCTTTCTTCCAAGGACTCCAGTCCTTTCACTGATTCAGAGAGAGTGTCCTCTGGATAAAAATTGAAAGCATATCCTCCTGCTTCGTACACATTTTGCTCTCCGTAGGAATTGTATCTCCAGGGATCTCTGACTGTGTGGTAGGTGAATCCTGTGAAATTGCCAAAATGATTCAGTGCAGATTTATTAACTGGGTTTTTCCATGAGCCGAGGTAATCGCTCTGATCCTCTTCATCAGCACCATATTTGTGAAGACAGTGGCTTTTACTAATCACAAATTTATTTACAAAACTGTGCGGATAGAAGCATTCTTTTTTAGTATGCTTTGCTCTTATCTGCCGCATTTTGGGTAAACCCAGGATTTTGGACCAGGTCTCTGGCAGGAAAGTTGGCTTCAGGTCGTTGTGAATCAGTTGCAAAAAGACCTCCTTCAACCAGAGATAAATCTCCTTTATTTTACTGACTTCAAAAAGCCCCTCAGACAATTTTGAGTTCATGTCCTGATTGTAGTAAAAACTCGTGGTGTTTTCCATGGAGTAGGCAATGTTCAAAATAAGGATTAAAAAGACAAAGTGGCATACAACGTCCTTCAGGAAAACAAAGGCTTGATGTCGGATCTTCTCTCTTTTCTTAAAAATGGTGACCTCGTCTTCTTCCAAAGGCTGGTACTGCTTGGTGCCCCTCATTCTTACGAGGTCATAATGCAGTTCTCGCATGTCGTCAGCATTCATACTTGGTCCATTCAGCTTAATCTCTAGGAAAGTTTCCTTGATGGACCACGGGATGCTTTCACTGGAATTGGGATGAAGCGATTTTAGGGCTGAAAAAAAAAGGACGTTCAGCGTTTGAAGGAAGAACATGCTGACCAGTAGCGAGATGGCGGAGGCTGCGAGCCATTCTAAAGAGGTTTCATAGTCCTGAGACGCGCCATATAATATGATAGAAAAAGAGGACGCGGCAGAAATAACCAAGACCAGCATCCACGAAGCGTATCTGTTCCACCAAGATATGCTCTGGGGCCTTTTGAAGAAAAGCATGCTGGGAGTATTGGGAGGCCTCGTTTGGTGGCCTGCCTCCTTCTCCGCACAATTATTGTTAAAATTGATGTTGGTATGGCCAACTTGCAAAGCCTCCTCCTCCTCCGTTGAAATTATATTGGCATCCCCCTCTGGGATTGTGCAGTTGTAACGGATTTTTGTTCTCTGCCGCCACCTAACATTTTTCTGTTCTGCCAGGTTTGGGGGATTGGAGGCGCCGGAAAAGCTGCTGTCTGGAAAACCAGGCCCTGGGAATTTTGAAGCAGTTTCTAGAAGGTAACATTTCTGCAAGAGTTCTTTCCAGTTCCTCAGATTTCCAGCCGTTAAATTAGAACACACTTTTTGCTGAGTTTCAGTGGCCTTCCGATCAGAAGGCTCCTTCTGCGAATATTTGAACAGAGCTGTTATAATCATCTGCAAAGGGACCGAGATGAAGGCACTCTGAACTCCAATGATTAGAAACCTCAGATACTGCAGTTGTCCTGGATGCATCTGCTGATCCTCGTCAGCCTTGAAGAACATCATGTTGATTAGCAGGATGCAGAAGACCGTGGCTAAGCAGCAAGACAGCCGTTGAAGTCTGTTGAAAGAACCTGTGCACATGCGGGCAAAAAGGGAGAACCATAAGTGATTGTCTGCAAGATCCTTGGCCAAGCTGATGAGAAAAAAATCCATTTTTTTTAAAGGAGCCAATGGCTGGACCGCAACAAACACCCTCTCAATTAGACCATTGTCCTTATCCAGAGCAAACCATTTTCGGCACATGAACATCCAAGACTGCTTGGTGTACATGTTTTCCACCTTGACTCTACTCAGGAACCAGTTAGGAGAAGAACCGGCATTATCGTGCCAAGCTTGAAGGCAATAAATTTCTCCCAGGTCATTCTTAGTAGTCAGGAGGAAGGTATTGATGGACCCACGGAGGAAAGGCACGTGTTCAGGGTGGCTCAAGCAGTGGACGTCACTGACTGCTTGGTCCCCTATCAACTGGATGAAAACGGTGGCTGTGGTTCCTGCCCCAACACGGCTGCCTGTGTAGATGGTGACCAAGTAGCAAACCTTATCAAAGGGGTCGTTGTCAGGCAAGACAATGGTGTGGGCTTTGCTTTCTACATCAGCCTTATCTTTCCTCATTGCCCAAATAGCCAACATGATATAGGTAAGAAAAATGAAAACTACGGTCAAGATTGTCACTGGGTTTTTCTGGATTTGAGCCAGCTGGATCTTTCTCATCTCTGCTGGATCAGGATAAACGGTCACCTTCCCTGCTAAAAATGTGATGTTTCCTGTGAAGGTTCTTCCTGTTGGTGTGTCAACGGTCCTCACAGGGCGTCTTTTGCCTGTGCAGACACAGTGTAGCTTTTGCCATGTAGTCTGAGGTCCGAGATGACACGTGTCTTGCCTCCAGTGTGTTTGGACATCATCCAGATACAAGCAGTCTGCTGTAAACAGCGCGAGGTCAAGTCTCCCTGAGTTGTTGTGGCCCTGCAGAAAGTGGTCAGAGCGGAAAATGATGGAAACATTTCGTTTTTCAGCTCTGCTGCCTTGGAATACGGATTTGAGTAACTTTTGTGAAAGGCAAAAAGCATACGGCCTCTGAAATACACAATCATGACCTGTGGGATTCTTAGTTTTTGAGACCACAGGCTTATTGTGGGAAACATTAAAAGTAGCTATTGGAGGATGAGTAAGTTTGAGACCCACGTATATCAAAACCTGGAAAGTGAGCTTTAGTTTTGTCACTATTTGGATTAAGATGTCTTTGGAGTTTCTAGGGACTTCCAAATTGAGTCCTCCAGATGCTTCAGGGAAGTTTTGGCTGCGTTCCACCAACATCTCAAACACAGCTGTCGTGTCCTCATTTCTGGTCAGGATCATTTCCACCACATCAGGCACGATTTCAATCACTTCGCCATTAGATTTAGTTCCTACCATTTTGAACCCCCCCACTCTTGTGCTTATGTCGTCCAAAGATGGCAACCCGAAAAATGGACTCTTGTCAAAGTCATAAAGTACCGTAGAAATTACTGTGTCATCGGGCAGCCGGTCATATTCCACCTGCTTCATTTTGGCATAGAAACAGTTGTTTCGGCAGTCTCTCTTCGTAGCAAAAGTTTTGGAAATATCACGCTTTTCCTCTTTCCTTAATGTGATGGTCCAGTCATCCGCTCCTATGGTGGTTTCATTTTCTCCTGGGACTTTGCCTTGTAAAAGGAGGTCTGCTAAAATTTCAGTGGCAGAGACGGTTTCCCCAGCGACAACTCTGTGGCTTTGTGGGTTTTTTAACAGAGAAGCTTTCAGGACCTTGGATAACCCAGCAAGAATAGCAGCTCCAAGATCATGGATCTCCTTAGAACCTCCCTTTTCTCTGTTATGTCTTCTCAACCCACAAGTCACCTCCTTGAGCTTTTGGACCACAAGAAGCTGTGACTTCCTGTTCATTTCCCCAATTTCTTGGGTTATCTGCAAAATACTTGAGATCATGTGATTTGCCTCCATTATATTTGTTGTTGGAATCCCAGCCAAATGATTTAAAAGAATTTCACGCAGTTTGGTCTTAAAGGAATGAAGTCTCGGAAGCACTTCTAGATCATTTAAAGCAGAAGCCACCATGTGGACAAAATATCCTGCGCTAAAATAATTTCTCCTGTTGAGAAAGTATGTGATGGGAGCTAATGTTCCATTGGTTAAGCTATGCAATTCCTTTAACACAGCCTCTGGTTCCTTGGCTTTCAGTGGACTGTACACCATGGCGGGTAATGTAATTTGGGAATAAGCACCAAGATCATCGTATATTTGGACATATAAGGTCAAGAGATATTGCTTAGAAGATACACCAATGGGTAAAAAAGAGGGCGGACTTTTGCATTGATCACCAAAATAGACAATGGTGCCCAAAGTACTGTTTTCTCTAATAGGCACTTGCATTGCATCTAATGCCACTTTGACCTTATAAGTAAGAGGCAAATGCTGATCTGTAAATCCACTACAATGAACAGAAAATTTTGTTAGAAAGGCTATTCCTGTGGGAGGGTTAAGGCTGCACTTTCCAAGTGCTGGAGGTATATTTACCACAAATGAGTAGACATAGAGCAATGGTTCATATCCCTCCAGGCTTACTTTAAATACAAGTGTAAAGGAGGATTCTGCCATATGCATCAAGCTCAACGGTTTCATACAGAGGTATGGATTGGTTCTTCCTGTTGAAGTTCTGGAGGCCCAGTCAAACTGGAGCTCGGAGGAATTTCCCGAAAAAAGTGACCAGTGAAATTGAGGCTTATTAAACCTCTTGCAATTTAGGCATTTGCCAAACAGGCAAAATCTTTCCATGGGATTCACAGATCTTCCACAGTTCTCAATGCAGGTAATGTTCAATACTAGCCAAGCATCAGGCTGCACGTGGACCCTTTGCTCAGCCTGAGCCTGTCTCCTTCCTTTATGAACCACCAGGAGAAAGTAGTACGTGGCCTTCTCTTGAAGTGTTTGCGGCAGAACTGTTTGCACGGCCTCTGAAGAAGCGGTCCACTTCAGATCTGCCTGATCTGGGCGGCACTTCCCACTCTCGCTCAAAGTCATGGAAATATAGTCTGCTTTTTGTTTGGAGCAGTACCAAGTGAAGGTGAGGCCTTGAAAGGGTTGGGGGGCATCCGGATCAGAAGAGGCAGACCCATCCAGAATCCACCGGTCGGAAAATCTGACTGTCCGCAAATCACCTCCAGCAATAACCGCCCAAAGTCTGTTGGGTCTAATCTTCACAAATACTGAATCGGAATCCTCTACTTTCTCTAAAGTGTCCCCCGTGATTAATGTTATGGTCAAATTGAATAAATACAAGCCTTCATCTAGGCTGCCAGCAGGAATGTTTAAGGTTGAAAGATCTTTTTTCCCAATTCCAGAAGGATTCAAAGGTTTTGACCAGTCTGGATCGGTCTTCATATCTGGAACTTTATAGATTCTCCAGGCAGTATGTGCTTGCCTTGATTCTGAACAATTCACCTCAATATCAGCTGAGAGAAGGAATGGGTAATTTTTACTGTAATTTAAAACAAGATTAGTATCATGGGATTCCTGGATTTTTACTCTTTTAAGGAAACAGAATCTTGGAAGGCAATCCACTGTAGACTTCAGGGCCTTTGAGGTATAAGTACTGACTCTGGTTTCTAAAAGGATATGTATTTGGCCGATTCGTCTGCAGTTGACTTGTGCTACGAAGCCTGCATATAAAGCAGGGTTAAGAGGAAGATCAGATATAAAACAGGCAGCATTTTGGACTCGATCTCTGTAACTGTAAGTAGCATTCCAGAGAAGAGCTTCCTTCTCTACATCCAAACATTGTAGGTTGAAGGTCCACTTATGCTGTAGTAATGGGTTCTGCAGGGGAATGAACCAAGCGACATAGACCGAATCTGGCACAAACGCAGGGCCACTGTTGAAAAGGTGAATTTCTACATCTTCCTCTGAAGAAGACTTCAGAGGGACTCCTTTTTGGTTAAGATACAGATGGATGCTGAATCTATAGCAGCACCAGTGGACAAATTCAATGGTGATCAAGTAAGAGAGACCGTGCTGTTGGTAAAAAAGATAGTAAATGCTGGAAGGAATGTGCAAGTCATTAGAAGAGCCTTTGATAAGATAGGAGAACCCCTGTCTGGGGGTAAAAAAATAGATGTCTGCCTTGATTTTCCGTGCATCTCTGAGAGTAAGATAAGCCAGAGGCTGATTCCTGATCCTTAGACCTAAAATGGCACCTGAGAAATCTAGTGCCCCACTCAAATCTCCAGAGGCTGCCTCTTCAAGAACCAAAGAGAAACGAGCCACAACTTTGTTCCCGAAAGATGGCGGACTAGGAGCAATGGAGTAATTATTCCGTAAAGCATATGGATTGTATATGGTAGACCAGAACCGTCCACTGTGAGCATCCACCAGGCTGTAGATCTTTCGTTGGGAGTTGGCTGAGGAGACATTCCAGAATAAATTGATAGTCCTATGAGAGATGTGGAGTAATTTAGAATGGGCACTGTAAAGATGCAATACAATGGGTTCTACCTGCATGTCCAAATTAGGCCTGACCAAAGGGCCTTGCCTGATATGGAAGGAAGGAATGGACAGTCCTTGGTGGGCGCAGTGTGCAATCTGACAATACCTGAAATAGGAGGAGCACCCGTGGGGCAGCCGACCATCACAGTAGTGGTTACATGGTGAAGAATTTGGATGATGGCCGATGGGAAGAAAAGGGGCTGGAAGGCCACCCCGTCTATAAAAACAATGATGGCACCATCTTGTTTTACCAAGGCATGCACAGCAGCCTAGCCACATTTGTTTCCAGTCATGTTTGGGGAATGTGGATGGCCAGAGCAGGAAGAGAGGAACATCTTGGCAAAACAACTTAATTCTCAGACATTGGTGAAGATGACGAGGCACACCGTAGGAGCAGGAGACACCCTGGATTGTGATGTGGGTGGAGGTTGAAGAAAAACGGATGTCACTTCCTTCAAAGACTAGTTCCAGTGCCACATGTCCCGAGCACGGAAGCATATTATGCCTCAAAATGGATCTCCAAACCCAACGATGCTGTAGAGAAAACCCATCTCTCAGTTGCTTCCAGGTTCTTGAAAGAAGTTCTACAACTCTGAATGAGCCATCTTCACCATTAGTGTCCCATGCAGATGAGGTTTGGGGTTTGTCTTCTTCTGGCCAATAGGTGTGGTTAGATGCCACCAGTGATGGGGGCAGGCATAAAGAAAGGGGCACGATTACTGCCCATGGGAAATAAACCCTAAACGTGGAGAAGAAACGCATCTGGAAAGGCTTGGATCAACGGCCTTAACTGCTGCAGATGGAATGACTGAGTGGATTCTAGAACCTGGGCAACCTCTGTTGGAGTCCCATTAGGTTGTGATTCTGACCACCCTTTGATTATGTAGTTCCGTGTCAGCGTTTCCTGATCTTTTAAGATGTGTGGACTAAAAGTGCTGGCTGAAGAATTTTGGGAGTTGAAGTCCACTCATCTTAAAGTGGGCAAGGTTGAGAAACACTGCTCTAAGTGGCAAGAATTCCTCAGGACCCACGGCAGAGTTTTTCCCAATGTGCTGAGAAACAGTCACAAGAATGTTTATTGTTGAAGAAATTATTATTATCGTCATCAACATCAGAATTATGTGCTTTACATCAGTACGCTAGATATTGATGATATTTTAAGATTTTTTTTCCCAAATGGTATTTTTTAAACATAACATCCCTTTAAACCATATTTAAATCTCGTAACGCCAATATTTATTCCCATGAAATCAATCTAGGACCACTTATGACCTGATCAGATAATCTGAGATTATTGGTTCGGAAAGATCCATGCATGCAGCGTTCAGAGAAATGATGAAACTGGAGTCTTCAAAGATTCCCTTAACCATCCACATGAATAAGTTTTTTTTTAGAGTCTAGCTCCATCTCAGTTGCTCTTTATAAATTTATGACCAACAACTTCTCTGCCATTGAGAACCTTGTACTGAATGTATTAAAAATATGATGGGCTGCAAATATGCCATAGGATTTCTGAAACCCCATTCAGAGTAGCCAACAGGAGCTGTTTCCCTGAAGATTCATCCGCCCCTTATGAAAAAAAGGTGCTCTGGAAGCTTGTCACTTCCAACTTCTCAACATTTTGGGAAACAAATATGATTCAAAAGTTGTAAAGTTAAAAAAAAAATCATGCTTGGAATATTGTATCCAGTTTTGGTCAAAAAAAGATGTTGAGACTCTAGAAAGAGTGCAGAGAAGAGCAACGAAGATGTTTAAGTGGCTGGAGGCTCCAGAAGGGCTTGCTTCCTGAAGGTGTGGGTGCTCCACCACTGGAGATTTTTAAGAAGAGATTTGTCCAGGCTAATATAGGGTCTCTTGTTTGAGCAGAGGGTTGGACTAGAAGACCTCCAAGGTCCCTTCCAACTCTACTATTCTGTATTACGGTGTCTCTCAACCTCAGAAACGTTTGAAATGCGTGGTGCTCAATTCCCAGAATTCTCCAGCCAGCATGCTGGTTGCAGAATTCCCACCTCTTAAAATTACTGAGGTTGAGAAACTCTGTTCTATACCAAGAGCAGTGGTGGCGCAATGGTGAGAATGCAGTATTGCAGGCTAATTCTGCCGACTGTCAGCAGTTTGATTCTTACCACTTCAAGATTGACCCAGCCTTCCGTCTTTCCGAGGTCAGTAACATGAGGATCCAGATTGTTGGGGGCAAGTGCTGATTTTGTAAACCGCTCAGAGACAGCTGTGAAGCACTGTGAAGCGGTGTATAAGTCTAAGTGCTCTTACTGTTGCTATTCCAAACTGAATAGGAAGGTGGAAATCAAATCAAACTGGAAATATTCCAGAAAGGTATAACAAGAACAGGCAATGTTAAGATCAATGAAAGACTTAACTGAACAAAACTATGTTATTTATTCAGATAAATGGAAGTTTTAACACAGAGAGATGCTTGTAACTGACTGATTAAAAAAGAACTTTCACTTCACTCGATTTCATACATCACATAAGAAGTGCAAAAAAGTGGCAGTCCTGGAAAAGTCTGTTAAGGTAAGAAAATGAGGATAAAGAAAGGAAATATAGGAACCAGGCAAGGTAGTCAGGAGGAAAAAGTTCAAGATGTCAGTAAGGAAGTACCCCAACTGCATAGCATTTCTGGGAACCTAATCCCACAAAAGAGATATACATATGGGGGTATTGGTAGGAAAGGGGATCAAAAGCATAAGTGAGAGGCTGTTGAGTTGAAGCGTCACCTTTCTTTTACGTGCCTCGCAGTTAAAAGGGGTCAGGTTTCAATCAGATAGTCTCAGCCACCATCTTGAATTTCTTGATCGCTACTTCTCCATCTCCCCTGCAGACCCCCCTGTACATATTTCTACTCTCTGAGTATCCGATGTATGTGTGCACATTCTACAGGGCATCGTGTGGTGGAGTCTTGGTTCTCTGTAGCAGCTGATCTTGATGTGGAGAACTTTCCACCACTGTGTTGACCTTCCAAAAGGAGTACAGAGTGGATTGGCCCCAGTGAAGGACCTAGTGACCAAAAATGTACCTGGGTTTTCTCATTTTTTTCTTGTAAACCTTCTTGTGCTTTCTTCTGCTTCTTCTGAGTTGGTCAGATCACATCAGATCACTGCCTGATGTTTAGGAGGTCCTCATTCTGAACAGATTTTGAGCAAGCTGAATGTCTCCCCAGCAAGGACTTCACTCCTATCTCCTGTTATTCGACCCTGTTGCTGATGAAAATCAGGTTGGTCACTAGCCCAGAGCTAGGAACTCATCTGCTGTAGGACTTCCAGAATAAAACAGAATGGACATTTTAAATCAAAGCAGTGGAAGACTAACTGGAATGGGAGTAGACGATGGGTTGGGAATTCAGTAGGATCCAAAAGAATAATCCAGGGAAATAATTAACACCTGCTTCTGACTGTTTTCCTCAAATAACAACATAAAGCATTTCTTTCCTTCCCAACCGTTTTCTCAAGAGCTGTTTCCTACGTTTCTTAAATTTCCCATACAGTACAGTGTTAAAAAAATCAGTCTCTGCATTTGTATAGGTACCAGTGCTGGCAAAATACCACATTCTGTAGATCTTCTGGAGTATAAAATACATTACCTCTGCTTCATTGGAAGCCTCGTTGTAAACAGTTTCCTTCATGTCTATGTGAGCTGACATGATGATGACTTGACCTAAATTGACAAAAACGCAGATCATCACCAAAAGAAAGGATCCTAGAAAAAGCCCCCCTAGAAGGTTGGAAGACAAAAATTCAGTGTTCCTAAATGCTAAGGCACAATAAGACAACACAGTTGTGAAGGAATACATCTTGCTACGGAAGTTCCATTCATGCTGGCCAAACCCCACATATCCAAGGGCCATATATGCATTGAAGAATATGCCACCCATTATAACTATATTGAGGATGCCAGGGAGGGCGGTTCTGAGGGATTTTTGGGCTAAGCGTAAATCATACAGAAATCTGACATAGCGATATGTTTTCAGAACCAGGAAAAAAACCAACACCCCCAGAACACCTCTGACTGTCTGGTCAAATTCGGAAGCTGTATGGAATGGAATAAACTCTTGGGAATGCAGTAAGTAAAACTGCACCAAGTCAGAAGAAAGCTTGAATTTGCACACAAGCACCACCAGAAAGATGATGCAGACGGTCTTTATCCCAAAGTTGATCAGGTTGGTAGCGACGGTAAAATAGCTCAGTCGTTCTCGGTATACCATGCGACATTCGTCAGCGATATAAAAAATGAGTATGTATATCGTTAGACAAAAGAAGAAGATCTGGCTCACGCTTTGATGTGTGAAAAACGGGAGTTTGTAAGAATGCACGGAGACGCTGGCATTTACAGGGCCGAGTAAAGAAAGTTCAAAGATGACAGAAACACTGCAGAACATATTGGCATCAACATTAAAAGTTGTTAATTCAAAAATCACTGCCCACGTCTTGTTGTCAATCCAGCTTTTCGTTTCCAAAGCTTCCAACCTTTTCGTTGAATTCACTTGTGGTTCTTTGGGGAAAAAATAAAAAGTATATCCCCCGGAAGGATATTCATTTAATTGTCCATAGGAGTTGTACTCCCATTGGGCGTTACTTGGCTCATAACTGAAGCCTAGAAACTCAGCATGGTTCTTGGGAACTGAGGCATTGGTAGGAGATGACCAGGAGCCCATGTAGTTAGTTTGATCTTCTTGGCTAAATCCATATTTATTTTTGCAATTAATATTATGCAGCAAAAATATGTTTTTCAATTCATGAGAAAGTAAACATCTGTCATCCGATTTCCTTCTTATTTGCCTCATTCTGGGCAACCCCAGCACTGTGGACCAGGTGTTCAGAAGATAGCTTGGGTGATAGGGATTGTGTATCAGTGGCAGAAATCTGTTGTTTACCCACCTGTAAACATCCTGTACTCCATTCTGATCAGGTAAATTAGGAGAAAATTTTCTAGACATGGCTCGATTGTAAAAGAAGGCTGTAGTAATGTCTATTGGATGCGAGATTGTAAAAATTAAAGTCAAGAAGATAAAGTGGCAGATCATGTCCTTTATGTATTTGTAAGCTAGATATTGAATCATCTGCTTCTTTTGCAGGGCTGTAACGTCTTCCTCTTTGATCGGTTGGTATTTCTTGGAAGCTCTGACTTGAACAAGGTCATCGTGCAACTTCATCATCTCATCAGCTTCCATCGTTCTTGGTTCGTACTTCATATCTCGATAGCTTTGCCATGGGATGTTTGCGCAGTATTTTTCCAAACAGATATTCCAGCTTGAGGAAATAACAATTTGTAAGGTCTCAAAGAAGCTCACGTGGAGACAGAACGAGATCAGAGCAGCTATGAACCATTCAGAGGATGTTTTGTTATCAAAAGACAGGCCAATGAATGTGGTGAAAATTGATGCTACCCCAGATATGAGGAAGACAAAGAACCACGCGCTGCAAGACAAACATCTGTGCCATTTCAATTTCTGAGTTTTACTCAAAGTTGCTTTATTTTCTGTTGCATAATTATTACTAAAATTGTTATCTGTGGCTGAAAACTGCTCTGACATTATCTCTGAAATTTCGGTCCCTGCCTTAGGAAGACTTTCAGGCAAGCAAGTGAAACTTTCCTTTCCCTGACCCTGGGAAGACCCTTTCGTGGAGTACTTAAACAAGCTCACTGCAATCCATCCCACTGGAATCGAAATGAGGGCACTGAGAACGCCAGCTCTCACGGATCTCAAATACTGCAGTTCTAGGAGGTGGACTTGTTCTTCTTTCTTAGAGTTGAAGATTATCGTGTTGATCATCAGGGAGGTTAAAAGCATCGCCAAGCAACAGGAGAGCCTCTGAAATCTGTTCCAAGAGCGGTCAAGGCTGCGAACAAAGATGGAGAACCAGAGGTGATCATGGAACAAGCGATAGCTAAACATTATCAATAGATAATCAGTTCTGCTGATGGGGACTTGTGGATCAGTGACCTCAAAAGTCCATTCTATTTGGTACTTATTCCTGCCAAGGGCCAACCACCTTCTACACAGAAACAGCCATGACTGGTTTGTGTCTACGTTCAGGACTTTGATTCGGCTCAAGTACCAATTTGGACCGAAGCCACAATAATTGTGCCAGATGTGGATAGAGACAAGGTCTCCCAAATCTTTCTCGGTAGTTAGCATGAAAGTATCGAC